ACAAAATCTCTGAGTAAACAAAAGCATTGCTCCTAAGCATCTTTCACAGCTACAATTGCTCAAGACTTATTTCTGAAAACAGATATGTCAAGAACCAGGGCCAGACTTTGAATGTAGAAAAATATGTAATACAGCACAACAGCAAGTAAAAAGGCAAAAAAATCCCACCAAAACCTGCAGAACGGTCAAAATAGAGTCTTTCCAGTTCATGTGCACAGGTGACCAACGGAAATGTGATGAAAACCTGCAGCAAACCACAAACCTCTCACCCCCTGAGAAAGAACTGAAATTGCCTGTATTCTGCTCCATCTACAAGAAGACTGGAGGACCTAAGTGCAAGGCTTGCAGAAAGATGATACATTGGACTTGGAGAAAAAGATGTGCATGTGAGCTGCTTCTCCTTTCACCCTATTTCCTTCCAGAGGCCACTGGGCTGAGCAAAGCATTCAGGGAAACAAGACTCTCCCTGACAAGCTTATTTCAGCAAATGATTTGTGAAACCTCCCTCAGCTTACAGGGAGGAACTGAAACAACCTCACTCAATCAAGATAAGTCTTCAGAAACAGGAGCCACTTCAAGATGACATGAACCTTCACATCACAGCTTAACCAAATCATCTATTTGTATAGAGAAAAGGGAGAACAAGTCTGCTTTTCAGGACTCAGAAGTATGCACAGCCCTTCAGAAATGCCTGCATAAAGGGGATTTCTTGAATCTTCTGGTTGCCCAGACTAAGCCCTAACTCAAAACTTCAGTATTTCATTCCATCACTGATGACCTTTTCCCATCCCTTATCTTTTTATCTGCAAAGGGATGCTGAAGCATTTGGCTTGACTCACAAAGTCTCTGTACGCTTCAGTGCACCCCTATCTCCTAAGGGGTTACACTTGCAGAGCTTCACTATCTAATTTTCACTCGCATAACTTGGTGAAATGAATGCCAAAAAAAGTATTATCAAACCATTTATATTGGGGTTTTCAAATTAAATAAGAACAGAACACACATAGCACTCTATGTGTGTTTACAAAGACAGGAAATTATTTGCTACAAAGTTCTGAAGTGAGATATCAACATTACTGAAATTAATATGCAGCAGACTTGGTTCACGATGGCATTACTCCAGCATCATAAGTAAATTGTGGATGAGGCTTGGGATTCTATTTTTAAAGCCTTTTTCCTCCTGCTGGGAACAACGGCCTATTCCATACAACCTGTCTGCGAGACAAGTTGTATTTGTTCCCTTCAGCAGTTAAAAAAACCTATTTGTTTCCAAATATTCAGATATTAAAACTAGATTTTCTGCAGGACTTTCACTTCATGACCAAGTTATTAGCCATAATAGATGAGTTTTACTCTTTTACCAAGCATTACTTCAATAATGTAATTGAAGCATCTCACCAGAGCCTGCTCTGTGAAGGGATCACAGCAAAAGACAGTCAAACCATTTGTTCTCTTCAGCTGCAGTCCATAAGCAGTCCCTAGAGTTGCAGGGATTAGCAAGAAAGCAGGGAGGGAGTGGTGGCCTTTCCACTGGGAGTTCCAGTCACATTTCCACAAATTCAGAGCCTGCTCAGCTGGGCAGATACAGTTGCTTTCTAGCAGCTGGCTATACCAATGTAAAGTAGCTGAAAGCACTCATGGCAGCAAAAGCATTTCTGCACCCTAGTAACTCATCACTTCAGAATATGTAACACACTTAAATGAGGCAGGAAAGTACAACTGTCCCCATTGTAACACAAGCAACTTAGGTACATCAATGGCCACAATTAGTCTACTGCTAGTCACACTATCTCAAAGTAAAAAAAGAAGCCCCAAACACATGCTACAAAACCTAAAAGTGATCTAGTATTTCTCCCTAAATGGCAACTTGTCCCAGCAGAATCAAAACAAAATCTGTCATGCAGTTTGGTCATCTGTACAATACTGTTGTACTGCAATTGGTTTGGGGTATATTCCTTAATGTATCATCTTCTGCCTGTTCACTGCCAGTGTGATTTGTCCCACATCTCAAAACAGAAGGGGAGTCTTCCCACACCTGCATCCTTTTCAGAAAAGTCTCCTTCCCCTACCTGTGCATCTAGCCAGTGCAATAAATAACCACCAGATCCACAGCAGCTCAATGCATCCTGCTGCTCACATTTCATCTGCTCCTTCCTCATAATTGCATGGTTTCTCCAGAAGAAAACCTGTGACACATCTACACTATATCACCTCAGAGCAGAGATGGGTTAGGAACTGCTCATTACTAACATGGGACAAGATCTCAGGATTGCAATCCATCAAAATAAATGCAATTGATGATTTCAGATGGCCAAAAAACCCAAACAAGTGTCAGCTGCTATTTGGAAACACTTAGGGTTTAAAAACACCATCATCGTATAAATCAATTGTGTCCTATCTTGGATACTGGTCTTTTCTGATATAAGGAAACAAGAAGATGACCCAATGTCCTGATAAAAGTTATGGAGACATCTTCCATGCAATGATTGACTGCCATAAATTCCAGTAAAGTTGTTACTACTATCATCTCAGTATGCAGGGAGAAAATTGTGAAGGCCAGAGTTAAACTGGAGTTGAAACAGGTGAGGGATCCGAAGGACATATAAGAGCATCAGTAGGTATATCAGCAGCAAAAAGAGGATTAAGGAAATTGTGGCATTGATCCTAAATGGAACAAAGCACCAGCGGCAAGGTACACAGAAAAGAGCACGTCACTGCTGGCATGGTCTACTCTTGCAGCTCCCAGATCCTCATGGATAGCAGCAAAGCCTGAGGGAGAAAGATGCCATTCTTGGATGAGGAGCATGAAGTTAGAGACTCATTAGGTAAACTGGACATATGTAAGCTCATGGGATCAGATGGCAAGTGATGACACAGAGCTGGCCAATGTCACTGTGAAGCCACCTTCTGCCATCTCTCAATAGTCACAGTGTCTGTGAGAGGTCCCCAAGGGCTGCAGGCAAGGAGATCTGAGGATATCAAGGAGGATACAGCTGAGCAGCTTCACCTGAAAGTCTGGGAGATTATTTCCAGACACAGTAAGGTCAAGAACTTCCAGACTGAGAAAAGCCAGCCTAGGTTTGAATAACACCATATACCGAAAGCAAATAATGCCTGACCAGCCTGAGCTGAGAAGAGAAGGTTCTGTAGGTAAGAAGAGAGCAGAAGTTTGCTGCCCCATAGCATCCTTACAGTTAAGCAAGAGGTAAGGACTGGACATGTGGGCTCTGCAACAGAGCAAGGGAGAAGGAGCAAGACAGTGCATTTTCCAGATGCAGTTTTTTCAATATTACTGCTTCTGAGGTAACAGGAAAAATCATGGCACAATAAACTTTGGCCTGAATCTGAAATTTTAATACATGAAAGTTGGCAGGTTTTGCTGCTATGTGGGAGAGCCTCCAGATGCAGAAGGCTGTGTTCATGCCAGTGATTATTTTTAGATGATTACCGATGTCCATCTGAACACAGCAATGCACCCTGCTTTCAGACCACACTGAAGTATAAGAATACTTCATTCAGTCTTAATATTTCAATGGTACACCCTGCCCACCATGTCCTCTGCAAGCACCAGGACTCTGTGCACGGATTTGCAATAATGCCATTTGAGTCCACTGGTCTTACCAGCTATTACCCTGCAACAAACACAATAGGTCTTGCAAAAGTGTGCCCAAGACATGTCCTCCTAAACACCTCTTTCCTAGCCCAGAACCTGGCTTCAGTATCATATTTTTGAGAATTTGTGTTTATGGTTTTAACAGCTCATGCTAGCATTTGAGAACTACTCATATTTCTAGTCTGTGCTTTTCAAAACAAAACAAACATAATCTCTCTAATTAAAGAGAAGCACCTCTATTTAATTGCCTTTATTAAGGGATAACATAGAAAAGAGTCTGATCTATTTTCCTTTTGTTTAACTTATTCTTTCTCCTCTTCTATGCTTGTAGCTCCATATATTTCAAGCTTTAAAAGGTCAATGTCCAAAAAAATTAAAATTTTGCATGCATTGCCCAGTTTTAAAATTATTTAATCAAACTGTTTTTAACACTCACCTGCCAAAACAAAACTTTTACTCGTGCTTTTAACATCACACGATAAGTGTACTTGCAATGCATAGGCCTGGGTGAAGGTAGGGGAAGGAACCCAAGAGGACACGGAAAAATTATGCATGGGAAAGAGGGGAGAGCCAGGTGTCAGGCAGGGCTGCTCAGGAGCAGAGGGTGTGTTACCCACCCTGCAGGCTGCATCCCCGGGCCCCAGTCCCTGACCCTTCCAGCCCGACCAGCCAGCTCTGCCCTCTGTGCCCCCCGGGGTGCTAGGTTTGAATAACACCAGGCATTTGATGACCTAAATTTACACCGAGGTGGCTCTCTGCCCAGCGCTGCAGGCTGGGACAACAAGGCTGTCCTCACGCTTTGCCACCTATGGGTCACCCAGCTCTGGCTCTCTGTCCTCTGTTCCCCTGGACACGGCAGGGCTGGCCAGGCCTGGCACTGCCTGTCCTCTCAGGCCTTGGCTGACTCATGGCTCCAGCATGGGCTCCTCTCCAGAGGTCACCCACCGGCCGCTCCCCTTCCACTGCTCCCTTCTGCCAGCCGGCCACGGCTCCCTGCCCAGATTAAGCCCGATAAACCCCGGGCGGGCTGCCACGCGGCCTGGCAGACAGGCTGGACTCCGGTGGAGCTCGGCGGGGACCTGCCGAGGGACTCGGAGCTGGTTGCGGCCGCTCTCCTTGCCCAGGGCAGCGACGGCCTCTCGCTGTGCACTGCCACCAGGCTCTGCACTGCCCGCCGGCCTCCCTGGGCACCTGTGTGTGTCTGTGTGCGGGTCACAGCGTGTTGCACCCGCGTCTATATGTTTCTTTTTGCAGATGCTTGTGTACACGTATATACGTGTGTGCGTACATGTGTGTACGTGTGCGCACAACCGCGCCCGTCCCGCACGCCCCGGTTCCCTCACAGCGCCACACCCGGCGCGAGCGCACGCGCAGCCGCGAGGCCGGGCGCCGCCGCCAGTGCACACGGCCGGAAGGCGCGGCCCGGCAGCTCTCTATGGTTGCCCGCGGTGGGTAGCGCGCCGCCGCCACCGCCTCGCCTCGCCCCCGCCCGCGCTGCACGCCGGGACACGGCCGGTCCTCCCTCCTTTTCTCCCTCCCTCCTTGCCGCGCGCCCCGAGCCTGCGCCGCGCCGACATCCGCGTTGTCCCAAGATGGAGGCGCGGGGCTCGCGCTGAGCGCGGCCCGGCCGACACAGGAGCAGGAGCAGCAGACGCGCCCGCCCGGCCCGGCCCGCCCGCCCCGGGCGGCAGCGGCGGCGGGAGCGGCCGGGAGCAGCAGCCGAGGCGCCCAGGTCGGTGTGAGCGCTGCGCAGGGCCGGCAGCGGGGATGGCGCCCGGCTCACGCCGGCCCTGAAGGGGAGGGAGGCGGCCGTGGCAGCTCCCCCGCGCCGGGGAGGGGAAGGCGGCAGCCCCGGGCTCCTGTCGCTCCGCGCCGTCAGACACCTGGGCGCGGGGCCGCCCCGGGAAGGCCGGGCGGGCGGCTCCGAGCTTCTCCCGCCCCCCGGGAGAGCGGGCTCGCCAGGCGACCTTGGGTGAACCCAGCCTGCCCCTGCCTCAGTTTCCCGGTTCGGTGACTACCCCTCGGGGCTGCTGTGGGCATGGGACGGCGCGGGGCTGTCGGCGCGGGCGGCTGCCGGAATGGGAGGTGCTGCGAGGGTCTCTTAGCCTGTGGCCAGGCCTGCCTGACCAAGTGGGTCTGAGCACTTTGCTCGTGTTACCTTCGGTCCAGTCTGAAGAGTTGGATCTGAACCTGTGAGCAGGCTGCCTTGTTGATGCATGTGATCTGTCGCTCCTGACTGCAGGACTTTCTGGGCTTGAGTTTTTAAACATATCTACAGTATTTCTGTTAAGGGATGTTACACTTCACTGCTGATTTGTAAATCTGATGTCTAAGGTGATGTGTTGTGGTCATTCTTAAGCAGTTACTACTGCTTAAGAAACAAAATATGTTTCACAATTCTCCTTTAAGTGACAAGAACCTGTAATTTATAGACTTGTAGTTATTCCTTTTCTTTTTTCTGCAGTTAATGGAAATACTTGTTTCTGTTTCCTTCTGTGTAATGTGTTGGTCTAATTCTGGGGCTAAATGTGTGTCTTACACATCACTTCAGGGATGGTCCCTCTGTATGGAAACTTACCTGCTTCAGTAAGAGTCTGCAAACCTGAAGCCCTGTGAGAAATCAGCTTCACAGAGTGGTTTTATCATGCTTCTTGCATGTCTACAGAAAGTTTCTCAGTGGAAAATTGTACCCGATTTTAGCTTTGATTTCTTAACAAAGAACGACCTGCATGATTGTATTGTCAGTTTATCTTCTTTCTCTTTTTCTTCTTTTTTTTTTTTTTTTGTCCTGAGCATCTCCCAAGAATATAGAAACAAAAGCAACAAACTAGATAGCAAAATGAGTATTTGAATTTGTTTGGGTTTATTTCAGGGTATAGTTCTGTGACTTGGTAAAAAAAGTCAGGCTTGAACAGCAGTGTGTTTTAAAGCCTAAATTTCTCAGTCCAAGTCCTCCTCAGAGCTCTAAAGTTGTGTGGATTTGATCCTTTTTTTAAAATAACAAACAAGACTTCTGGTCTATTCCTTTTTTAAAAATTGCTGCTGCTGTTTAAAAACATGGGAACGATGATTCTTTTGTGAATGGAATTGGAAACTGTGTGTATATTTTGAATACATCTAGGGATGTTCTCAGCCTGTTAGAGCACCTGGAAATAGTCCCCAGTCATTTTAATCAACTTGAGAAAATAAACCTGATTCTTTTTCATATCATTTAACTTCTCTTTTGAAAATATAAAATGTTATGTGTACCACCAGGACCCAGCATGCACAGTATAAAATCGTGCTTGTTTCACTATGATTATCTCCTTTGTTGACATATTCTTCCCTAGTTCTCAGAATTCACAGGTTCTGCTTAACCAGAGTTGAGTTTTAAGTTATAAACATGTTTAATTGTGGACATGTATAAACATATTTTCTATAAGCAGTGATTAGCATAGTTCATGACATGACACTTACCATGGAAATAATTCATTTTTTATGTGTTTGTAAATTAGCACCATCCTAATTTTTGCTGTGCAGGAAAGATTCCCCCCCCCGCCCTGTTACTTTAGTTTTCGTTTACTTAGTGAATGTCCAGAGAGAATTAATCTTCTTTTAAATGCAGGAAATGTCTTTCTCCCTCCCCACATCAGTCTACCCATACACCTGAAGATGAAGGCCACTAATTTTTAAAAATAGAACTTGCAATTGAGGGAAAAAGGAATATAATTCATTAAGTATGTAGGCATAGATCCTATTTCCAGCATCAATCTTCCTTTCTGGCAGTGTAGGCCAAGTCTTCACTCTAATTAATGAATTTATATTGATTTTTAAACAAAGGAGGTGTGTTTTACAATTTTTCTGAAGTATCCAGTGTATTGAAGGTAGCTGTGAATTTTTTAGAGAAGCAGTGTTAAAGGGTTTTCTGTCACTAATCAAATTGTGACCTGCACCTGGAAGGAGGGGAGTAATACATTTACTATCAGGGTCTGTAATGAAAAAAATCTAGAGTATGTTGTTTACTTTCTAAAAAAAAAAAAAAAATCCTCCCTCCCAGATGTTCTATAAGCTGGTTCCCAGAGACAACAGCAGTGAGGAAATCTCATGTTTGAAGTGAATTTTGTCACTTTAAATACTTTGACCTTAACATTTATTGCTTTAACTTCTTGTATTAGTAGGCAGTGCCTGATGGCCTCATAAAGCTCTGTTGCCTGTGAATTAAAGTTTGGAAAAAAGCTGGTTCATGGGAATAGTAATGTGTGTAACATATCTGGTTGGTTAGCAGAAAGTCAGCAAATACAGTCTAAAGGTAACATTTTGCAACGAAGCAGCACTTCAGTAACTACAGCAGCTGGTGACACATTTCTTCAGGAAAATAACCTCATAGGAAGAATATGAAAAATAATGTTGAGATTCAGGATTCAGGTTTGGCAATGTAACATCTGACTAAATAGCACTTTAAATTGCTATTTTTGAATAGCTGCACCTTCCTGTGGTTAGGAGGGATAGAGTTTATTGACAAAATAACTTGCTGGGTGCAAAATTACATTATGAATTAAATATTATCATAGTTCTGTCTAACAAATACTCTCATGAATGAATCTCTTAAAGGAAGCATTAACTACTTCTTACTTACTTTAATAGGTTGAGCCTGCTTCCCTGTATTATGCAAACTGCTGAATGGAGGAAGGGGGTGGAAGTCAGTCTTTACCGATACTCTTTCCATTACCGTCCTGCATGGTTCTTTACCCATGTTTTACAGTGGTGAAGAATTAGGAGAAGCTGCAGTTGTTCTGCTGAGTGGAACTAAATGGGTGGCTTCCTTCTGGACCCTCACTTCACTATCTTAGGTAAGAGGGGTGATCTGCTTCTTCTGAAGCTACTTGCATTTCCTTAGAACAGAAGTATATATTGTTTTTTTTAGAGAAACTTCTAGTTAGCAAAGCAGAGCTTAGAATGCTTTTTTTCTTTTTTTTTTGATCTGGTGGTTGAGAAGGGCATTCACAGTATGTAGCTGTACCAGTACTTTTCATTGATAAGCATTGCTGTTTGCACCCATTCAAATAACTTTAAAAACATGCTCTGTGTACTAACATAACTTGCTTCTGAGAATCACATTTATCTTCTGTAGTAGGACAGAAGTGGCACTGTCACTCAGAGGTGCATTACAATGGTGGTGGATATAGGACAACTTAAACTGATGTGCCACTTGACTGCTTGATATGGAGTGCATGGCTTTTTTTTTTCACAGACTTGGAATAGTTTGGGTTGGAAGGGACCTTTAAATGTCATCTAGTCCAAATTCCTCTGCAATAAGCAGGGACATTTTCAAACAGATCAGGTTGCTCAGAGCCCTGTCCAGCTTAACTGTGTATATTTCCAGGGATGGGGCATTTCCTATCCCTGGGCAATCTGTTCCAGTGTTTTACCACCCTCATTGTAAAAAATTACTTGGTGATATCGTCTTAATCTACTCTCTTTTAGTTAAAAGCCATTACCTCTTACCATGTCATATAAGGCCCTTGTAAAAAGTTTATCCTCCTCTGTCTTGTAAGCTCCTCTTCAGTATTAAACAAAAGCAAACACTTTTCTCCAGATCCTTCTCCAGGCTGAACAATGTTATCTCTTTCAGCCTTTCTTCATAGGAGAGCTGCTCCAGCCCTCTGATCATTTTTGTGGCCCTCCTCTGGGCTTTCTCCAATGAGTCCAGGCCTGTCATGTGCTGAGGACTCCAGAGCTGGATACAGCACTGCAGGTGGGGTCTCAGAGGAGTAGAAGGGCAGACTGGTCTTCCTTATCCTGCTGGCCATGCTGCTCTTGATGCAGCCAAGGATACATTCTGGACTGCACGCATTGCTGGGACAAGGCTGGCCTTCCAACAGCCGGGATCTCCAAGTTCTTCTGTTATTACTTCTGCTGCCAATTCCCTCATCCCCCAGCCTGTATTGATATCAGGTGTTGCCAGCCCAGGTTCAGGACCTTGCACTTGGAATCACTGGGTGAGGTTCTCATGAGGCCACTTTTCAGTCTTGTCCAGGCCCCTCTGGATGTCATTCCGTTCCTCAGGCATATCAGCCACACCACACCCCTTGGTATGGTTTGCAGGTTTCCTGAGGGTACATTAGGTCCCACGGTCTGTCATTGATGAGCTGGCCTCAATATGGAGCCCTGAGGGACACCTCTTGTCATTGGTGTCCGTCTGAACATTAAGCCATTGACCACTACCCTCTGTATGCAACCATCCAACCAATTCCTCATCCACCAGAGTCCATCTATTATCTCTCCAACTTAGAATGAAAGGTATTGTGGGGGACCATATCAAAGGCCTCAGAAGTCCAAACAGATGACATCAGTAGTGGCTCCCTTGTCCATTGATGCAGTCACTCTGTCATAGGAGGCCATTAGGTTGATCCAGCAGGAGTTGCCCTCGGTGGAGCCATGCTGGTGTGTGTGACAGAATGTCAAAGCTGTGACGTGAACAACTAAAGACAAAATTTAAGTACCAAAAACTAAAGGGTAGTTTGAAACCCAAAGGAAATTCGATCTTGGTAGCCTGTGGATTGGTAGGATCACAAGCAGAAAATTACAGAACCTCTGTTTGGGTTTGGTGGCTGTTGCATAACAGTCTGGCAATGATTAGTCCACATAGTTTGTGTTTCATTCTGGTGTTGTTTGAGGACTGTGACAGGACTTCTGATCAAGCTAGAGTTCTAGGTGTGAAGCTAGTTCATCTCTCCATAGAGAAGACTCTTTGCTTCCTTTGTCAGACTCCTCTTAGGGCTTTTGATAATTCCTTGATAATCATTACACTTAAGAAATCAGTAAAGTGAGGAGATCTGGATGACAAACACCCTCTCCCATACCCTTAGGAGCTTTGTGCAGGGGAGGCACAAGAGTGATCTCTCTTTGAGTTGCCAAGCTTGCACGGCACAGAGAGATGCCAGGCCTGTCCAGGCAGCCAGGCTCTGGCACTACTTGTGCACTCCTGCCCTGGTATGCTCCCTGGGACCCAGGCTGGAGCAGCTGCAGTTCTGCAGGCTTGGCCTGTTAGCAGGTGGTGGAGTGGCTCTTAAAGGAACTCAACTTCTCAAATGGGTCGTAGGTCAAAGTACTTGAAGAATGGCTATCATAGCTACAGAAGAGTTTTGCTTTATGGTTAGTTGTATATTTTAGCTAACTAATACTTTAAATAATTTCATTTTACAGTGTGGTATTTGCCATTTTCTTAAAAGGAATCAAAAACTTCTGCAAAGCTAGATAATACTGAAGTAATATCACTAACTCAGAATTTCTGTTTCCGATACAATCTTTCATTTTTCTTATTTGTATATCATATTCAGATAATGATTGCTTATTTTTTCATAGTGAAATCTCATGCCCAAAGTCTTGGTGATGAATATTGTGTTTTACTATGTGTGTACACCCAGGTTTATTTTTAGAAAGTCCAAGGTATACTAGTGTACACTGGCTGAGTAACAGCACCTTGTGTTTCAGCTGGTGTAGCAAAACTTGCTTATTGTAGCCAGTAGAAATACATACTTAAGAGTCCACACAACCTGCAAATCCCATCAGATTTCAAGGACAAGGGAGCTTCTGAGAGAGTGTAACACGTCTGTGAAACACTAGTATTTCTTGCTTGCAAAGCTTGAGCCCTTTCCATAGTAAGGTTGTGAAAAATACTCCTTTTGCATGATTCCCATAACCTGAATATCTGATTGAAAGAAGGATGTAAACATAAAACATAGTCTAAGCACCTGATAGAGATGATTTCATTATATTTTTTATCAGGCCAGACATGAAGAGTTGCAAAATATTTTTTGTATTTTAGAATTAATTTCTTAAATATTTTGTAATTCCATATGCGACAGTGTGGTTAATTCAGTGCTTTACTGTCTGTGTTAATGTAATTCAGTGTGCCTTGAAGTCTCCTTATTGAAAATGTATGATGTAGCTGTAAACAAGCAGCTTTTTGGCTCTGGTCACATGATCAATCATGATTTTTTTAATGTGGTGTGGAAGCAATAAGGTTGGCCAAGCTTTAAGTCATATTGTTATTTGCATTTTTTTAGGCAAATGTGGCTTAGTGCTAATTAAGTATCCTGAAGGTGAATGTTGACGTACATCTGACTTCATTAAATAATTTTCATTCATTTTAGACAAGCATTACAGAGCCTTATTTCCTTTTGTGTTGTCATGTAGTCTTTGAGTGAATGTAGACTTTAGACTTAGTAGACTGCTGAACTCTGTTCTCTGCAGTGATAGCTGTTGGGGAGAGACTGAAGGAGAAGAACTGGAAGTCCAGGAACTTCAGTTTTGTGTTGTTGGATTTGCGCTTCTGGTGCTGTGTATTATTATGCAAATAACCTGTCTACATCTCCTCCATTGTGGTCTTGTTTCCTCTATCAGCTGTATGGTCCTACACTACTCCATAGCTTCAGTTCTTTTGGGAACCTTTTTTTTTTTGTCCCTGTTGCCGGGCAATAATCATAAGAACTCTGGTAGATGTATTTGCAATACTTTTTCAAGCTGTACTTGGTGCTCTCCTCCTACTCTGTGCATACTTAAAATTTGTGCTTCTGTGTCTTAGAGGAGAATGAGAGAATTTTATACAGATGACACTGCTCTATGTCTGTACAGGAACAAATGTATACATTGAATCTGGAAGTCCTGTGACACTAGCTGTGAAAATACTGGTTGCATTTGTCAGAATACTTCTGAGTTTGTCTAATGGCACCACATAATGAAGAATTATTCTTTAGTAGAATATAAGGTATCTTGGATTTCTGCTGTGGATATGGAGTGGAAGTGCTACTTGCAAATAGGAAAATCATCAGATACTGTCTCATGTTGTTTAGATGAATTTTTCCTCTGGTTTTTATGTATGGAAGCACAGTTTTATTGACACAGTTGTGTATCATTAACACAGTAATCCTAACTGTACAGAGAGCTACATAATTAGTAGAATTGTTTGTTAAAAGAACAGTCCTTTTTCACAAAACTTGTAGGCTGCCCTATATCACTATTTTTTTTTTAAATACAAAAGAGTGTGCTCACATTGTTAGTGCTTGGAGCTTTAGTGGTAAAACTGGCCCAGGATCACCCCATTACAGTTCCCTGATAAAGAATTTGGCCCCTGACACCAAATGATTTCTCACTGGTTTGCCATCTTCTAAAATAAAATTGAATGTACCATTAAGGTAACCAGATTGAGGTTTCCTATGTGGGAACCCTGATCTATATTGGAGATCAGCCTAAATCAGCTGCATTGGATTTGTTTGTTCTTAATAGAGTTTTAAGCCATGAAATTATATATTAAATCTTCACAGTGCTGGAAATGTGTGCCAAATTACTAACTTTTTTGGAAAGTAATTAGTAGATTTCATAGAATCAGGGAATGGTTTGGGTTGGTAGGGAACCTTAAAGAAAAAAATCTAACTACAGGCTTCATCCATGGGCAGGGACACCTTTCACTAGACCAGGTTGTTGAGAGCCCCATCCAGCTTGGTTTTGAACACCTTCAGTGATGGCGAATCCACAACCCCTGTCTTTCTTTAGTTATGTGCATACGTGCCTGTTTCTCTCGCCTTTTCCCTCGAGGCTGGTTGTGCTTTTAGGTGTTTGTTGAAAATCTTTCAAGTATGTTTTAGTACCTTGTTAATTATGACTTCTCTGAAAATAAATAAATTTATAGAAAAGCATACTGAAGTCTAGCAGTTTTATGCACCCAGAACAAAGATTTGGTTCTGTCTTGATTCCTGAGTGGGTTTTTTTTTTCTTATTATAAATGCCAGTTCTTAAAGAAAGGAAAAAACAAGGACAAAATAAGGGGTGGGAAGGAGAAAGGAAGTTGATATTTGTAATGAACTGGATGAATGGAATTATAAAACTCTATTTCATCACTACAGGGGAAAGAATAGGGAACACTATGTGTATGAACTTCACGCTTTTGTAGCTTATCTAACATAATAATTATTTTCTGTTGTGCTTTTCTGTGAGAAGTGTGATTTAGTTTTATGTGGTTTAGTTTTAGGTAGTCCTGTGAGGAGTGGGGAGCTTGGTATGATGATCCTTGTAGGTCCCTTCTGACTAGACATATTCTATGACTCTGTGTTTCCTTTAGTTGCAGATTTGTGACTATTCAAATAGGCACTTTTGAATGTGTTGTCTTGAAGTTGTACGGAGCTTCACATTAGCATGAAGCATAGTACAGGAACTGAATTGTAATGTTTTGCATTATAGGTACAAGAACTGTAGAAGTCCATTTTAGAATTTGAAAGAACAAGATTCTGCAGCTCTGGAAAGATATGGTATGTTTATGTTTCCACTTATATTGTTTGTATGCTAATAATTATAACAGCAAATAATTATACTTTCCTGCACTGAGATTTAAAAAAAGGTTGCAAATTAATTCAGGAAGAAGCACACATTAAATTTTCCCTTTTTAGCTATGATATCTATTACTTAGTCATAACTGACTTATTTGATTTTCTTGGGGAAAATAAATACTGATGATAAAACGTTGGTGAATTCCCTTTTGATTTAACAAGCTCATCATCATGCTGCTACCATCCATTTATTTCTCCATGGATTGGATAAGAACTGGTGTGTTTCTGAAAGCTGTATGGTTTTTTTTAATTCGCTACTCAACATATTTATAGTGAGGCTATGACTTGAAAAATAAATTTAGAACTTGCAGAAAATTTATGCAATCATCAGTGTAAGTTAACTTTACAAATAAGAATGCTGGGAAATACAGAAATACAATCTTTTTTGGCAGTGTTAACATAAACCCATGGCACATGGTATCTCTTTTTTTGTCTAGGCTCTTAAATGTCCAGCCTTCTTAAAAGTATGTACATGTATTGTAGCAGGGTTGGAACTTGAACTTGTAGTTATTTTAATTGCCATTTCCTAACTTAATTTTGGTGTAGTTCTCTAGTAATACCTGGTGTTACTGCACTACTTTGAAGTGTCTTTTTAAGTTCTGTAGTTCTGCATCTTGGTACATTGAGAATTTTTGAAACTTTTAGCACCACTACATTGAGAAAAACAACAAGTTAATTTTTCTGCCATATTAAACAGGTCAGTTAATGCATATACAAGATTGTATGTAGTTATTTCAATAACAGTTCCTAAGCCATGTGTGTACTTTCTCTTTTAACCACTTAAATTGTGGGGAAGCTGATCTGAGTTGTCTGTGCCATGGGTTAATGTCTGGATTTTTCTTTTCGAGATAATTAACTTAGAAATACACTTAAAGTTTAGAAATCTCAAATTTGCAGAGCAGTTGTTTGATGTCTTTTTAAGTTCTGTTTCGTAGGAAGCTATAGACAGGTTCTAATAAAACTGTTAATTCTAAGCTGAAACTTTAGCTGTAGTATGTACTAATTAAAAATTGTAAGTCTCTCAAAAAGCTACAATGTTACATTGTCACAATCCAGATGTTCCTGAGAGAATTGTATAGATTGGTCCTTTACTCTAGCAGGCATCTGGCAGGTAGTGTATATTCATTTTTGCACCCACAGCACCACTGGGACCACCCACCCGCTTCTTGCTCTCCAGTGTCAATACCAGTTCTGTGTATGATGGCTCTTCTTCAAACCTAAGCCATTATTTCTTTATTGCCATTATGCCTGCTGGCTGCTTTTCTTCTGGATGTTTAACTGCTTGCCACTGTATGTATGCGTAGAGTCTTGTAGTGGTATGTGCTTCATAAATTGATTAAGAATTCCCCTCTAATCCCCCACAAGTTGTGAGTAATAAATACTAATGGAACATCAGAAAAGCTGAATGTTGTACTAGAGAATTGCATGGTTGCTTGGTTTTAATATCAATTATATTTAAACAGACGTGCTGAAGAATTTGGTGAACAGAAAGATGCTTTACATGGAAGGCAGCATGAAAGATGGGTGGCAAAAGAAATCAAAATAGAGAATAAACAAAAGGACAGACGGAATAAAAGTTTAAGTAGTAAAACTGAAGTGAAGCTGTAAAACTTACCTGACTGCAAAATAACATGATGAGTAGCTAATAAAAAGAGTTAGTGAAAGGCATTTAAATAGGTGGTTGGATTTCACCTGCTGGTGTAGAAAGGGCTTTTTGTTCCTGCCTGTGTATCATTTTGGAGGGAGCCTGAAGTAACAGGTATAATGTAACTGAAATAGAAACAAATGGTTCTGCTAAAAAAAACAAAAAAAAAACCAAAAAAAACCAACCAGAGGTGTGTGTGTAGTGGAAGAAAAAAAAATCAGCTGTGGTCTAAGTGTAAAACACAGAAGCTAAAGCTAAAGATAATTTTGGATCTTTCCTGCTTTTACAAAGGTGAACATGACATGTATATGATCTAACTGAAATACTAAACCGAAACCAGATATTGGCAGCAAAAGCTAGAGTCCAGAGTTGCAAGGGCAGCTGTAGAAAATGGGAAAAACATGCAGGCCTCTAGCTTTTGGCCTGAGGGGAGGGAATGGGAGCAAACATTAGATATTTCTGTTACTCTGTGATTTATGGATATCATAGTTTAACCCCAGCTGGCAACTAAACACCAAACAGCTACTCTCTCACCTACCCACACAGTGGGATGTGGAAGAGAATTGGAGGAGTAAAAGTGAGAAAACTTGTGGGTTGAGATAAAGATAATTTAATAGGTAACACAAAAGCCGTGCATGAAGCAAAGTGAAACAAGGAATTCATTCACCACTTCTCATGGACAGGCACGTGTTCTGTCCTCTCCAGAAAAGCAGGGCTCCATCATACGTAACAGTGACTTGGGAAGGCAAATGCCATAACTGTGAACATTCCCCCTTTTTCCATCTTCCCCCAGCTTTATACACTGAGCATGATGCTTTATAATATGGGATGTCAGCTGGGGTCAGCTGTCCCAGCTGTGAACCCTCCTTATTCCCTGTGCACCCCCAGCCTCCTTCCTGGTGGGCTGAGGAGCAGAAAAGGCCTTGACTGTGTGAAAGCTGTAACACAAAGAGCAATAACAAAAACATCCCTGTGTTAACACAAATGCAAAACACAGCCCCACACTGGCTACTATGAAGAAAATTAACTCTATTCCAGTCAAAACCAGTACAGTGGGGAGTATTGACATCAAGGCAAAGTAAGTATACAGATATTATAGGATGGAACTTTTATGTAAATCTGTGTTTGATCTCTTTGTATTGAGATCCACAAAATTCTACCTTTATGAAACTCAGTAACTTGTGATTTTATTGAAATGAAAATTCCAGAGTAGCACTAACTTTAATTTGAAGAGAGTAACAAATTCAGATTCCCATTGCAAATAATTTATTCAAGTGTTAATTGTTCTCATTATCGTGCAGGCTTGTGTTCCTCCTCTAATTTGAATTTGTGGGCCTTCAGTTTCTATTAGTGGGGATTTTATATGCATTCTTTCAGTTCAAAGATCTTTATGTATTCTTTCTGTGCTATGAGAAAACTTAGTTTCTTCCAGTATCTATATTGATAGGCTTGATTAATTTAGAATTCTTTTTATTGTCTATTCACAAAGCATTTTTTTAATGTTCATGATGTCTTTGTGGCTCTTTTCTACTACTTCTGGAACACTTTTGAAGAATATTGAATAATTGGAGAACTGGGTTTAAGTTTGGAAGATGTGTGAAGTGCTTTGTGCAGATAAACAGACACTCTTCCAGGGACCCTTCATGAGCCATATCTGTCATTCTTTTTGTAATACATGGGAGCATGTGTACATTTGTACATCAGTTGTGACTGCTTTAGTCACTTTAGTTTGGCATTTTCCAGGATAGAACCCAATTCTTTTGGTTTTCTAACTCTTGTGATTTTGATTTGTTGTTACTAGTTGAATTGCTTGGTTTACCAGGCAGTGGGAAAGAAAATCATATGGAGGCCTTATTAGTGTTTGGCTGGGGCTGTTTTTTTGGCTCCATTAGGATTTATATGATCAGGTTGTATTAATGGCTGTTTTATTTTACTTGTAGAATCAGTAATAATTTTGCCTACTAATTAGATGAAGAAAATGTATCTTTTTATGGTTTGTGCATTGGTAACAGCATACAGGCAAGAAAAGTAATTTGTACTTCCACCTTTATGAAGAAATATAGGCTCAAACATGCCTATTACATTACCCTTTTTTTTTTGTGCATATGACAATTAAGATTGAATTTAGGGGCTTGGTGAGCATTCTCCAGGACATTTGACTCAATCTCTAGTTACAAAAGGCCCACTCTCCTATGAGGTGTCAGTTTCTTACTGTATAGGTGATTGTTTCATTGCGGTACTCAAAGTCATTCTGAAAATATGTAAAATTAATTTTTGGAGCATTCAGAGGAACTCTTCAGAAGACCTTCAAAAGCTGTCTTTAGTGGTATATTCCTGAGAGAGATGGTTATATTTAATTAAGCAACTAAAATTCTGGTACTGAAAGGTGAGGTAGATCATGGTACTTCATTGTACAGTGGATTACCCCGATTTTCATCATAGATCAAAAAGAGAATATTAAATTTGGATCAAAGATTACTTTGGTAGATACTTAAAATTCCCTTGTAAAGGAAACTTAAATTATTACAAGTGTCACTCTTTCAATAAGGCAATCAGCAGTTATAGTTTAAATATGGAAAGTGTTCATCCTCTAGGGGATCTTCCTAGGCCTCAGATACTGTGTGTCAGCTGCCAGATTGCAATACTCTCACAGGAGGTGACCGTCAAATAACCCGAGGATATTTGATGATCACCTTCTCCAAACCCTAGCAGATTTAGGGAAACCATGTAGGTAACAATGTTTAAAATAATGATTCCAACCTGGAAGTTATTTGCCTTTTTTTTTGGTTGCTGAAAAATAAGTACTTACAGTCTCCAGGGTGTGGCTTTAGGTTCTGTGTGTTGAAGTTGGGGACCTCTTCTTGCCTCATGCTTGTAGACTTCCAAGGTTTAAGTAAATGTGCCCAGACCTTTCATCAGACTATGCAACCAAGTTGCTTTTATCCCTTTTGATGCTTCTGAACTTGCTTTCTGACATCTTGTTCTTTCACTCATTGTTTAACTCCTTGAGCTGATAGGAATATTCTTTTAAGAAAATACCTGTGCCGTCTTGGAGAAATAGATGTTGTTCCAAATCACCATGTAAACATTATTTATCCTGTTCCTTTTCATGAGGGCTAGTTCAAGTCACAAAGTTCTTCAGATACATGGTTTGAAGACATGTCTTCATGTCTTGCTAACTGTAGTAGGTGTAGTTGCAGCCCTAGTTGATTCTACGTCTAGTAAATAGTCTCTAGGCCAACACAGATGTGTCAGTCTCAAAGAGTCTGGCACCCATCTTGGGTTTTTTGGACATACTCTATAGGCACAAACTTCCTTTCATATCTGCAGCTGCTCAGTGTGTCTGTAAAAGCCTAAACTGTAAGCCATGCTGATCATAACAGTGAGGACCAGAGAAATTCGTTTGAGTAATATGAATAACTATCTGCTCTGGGGCTGCTGTTTCTGTCTTCTGTAAGGTAAGTTACAAACAGAGGAAGTTTTTTTGTAGAGAAATTTTTGTGACAGAAAAGCCATTGATTTAGACCAATTCACAATTCATAATACTGTTTTCCAGGATCTTAGTCTATTCATCAGTGTGGTTTTCCTTTCCTAATCAAGTAGTGTCTTTTGACTCTCTTAACAAGATTGGAGGTTCTTGTGCATTGTTTGTATCAAACAGTCAAAATGTCCTTTGAAATATATTCAGAATAAATCTTTGATGGCAGTCTCCTTCACCACCCACCTTGTGTTCCACCGTGCTGGTCTCTTTGCCAGCAGACCCTACTCTGCTGATGCATGAATGAGTAAGGTTTTAGAAAAATTAATTCTTTCATCTGTGCTAGGGAATCCTTGCCAGTCATATTCTGTCCCACAGGAGTGGCAGCAAGGATAGGTGGGAAAGGTAGGATGAGAAGGAGATAAAAGAGAGAAATGATTCATTAAGGTTTTTTGCATCTAGACTGCTGAAAAGGAGCATGAAAATTTTAGACCACAGTACAGTAAGTCTAGGTTTAAGGTATCGTACAACAAATCAGAAATGCTGAAACTACCTGACTGAGAGCTCTGACCCATGACAAATTCAGGTTGTAGGTACATGTTTCACACCAAAACTTAAATGAGTTAACTTCAGCTCAGTGAGATTTGTGGCAGTTCAGACCCTGCCTCCCATCACAGAACTGCTGTAGATACTATGTTCGGTGGTGTGGTAAATGAGACTAACAGAGTTGGATCTGGATCAGGCCTTGGCACAAGCTTGTCTTGACTATGACTGTAGCTGCCAACTTAAAGTATATTTTTTAACATTCCAAAATCTAGTGGTGTTTGAATCCAGCACCCGCATTTCATGTGCTCCTTCACTGTTGTCAATCACGTTCATGACTTTTCCCATATGAAACAGCCTCAGGAAAACTTTGGTTTACTGAGGTTGATGGCAGCCTGGTGTTCCAGCATGCTTCCATTTGAATGGAAGACTGCTGCAATAAGTTTTTGTCAGTAGTCTGGTGGTGTAGGACCAAGTCTAGGTAGGGAGTCCTTGATCAGGCACGCTCCAGAACATGCGCTAATACTTGCAGTAGTCATAATGCAGGTTTCCCAGCCAATGAGGCTTTAGAGATTATACCACTGTCCTCTGACCAGTGTACTAAAAGTTACTTGGGCAAAGTGCTAGAAGCAGTGTTAGAATAAGCATCTGTTTCCTCAAAACTAAAGCTTGCCTGAAAGCAAGTGGAAGTTTTCAGGTCTTAATCAGAATATCATAAGCAGAGTAGTGTTTTACAGCTTCTTAGTTTTGCATCAACATCTTGGGTTGTTGCCTTTCTGTACAGCTGATGGTCACAAACGTTAAATGGAAAGTCTTTACCCGGTTCTGTAATGCTGACAGAACCGACTTTTAAACTGACTTTTAATCATTGTTCTGTGCTCCTGGCATTGACTCAGTTAAACTTGACAATTTACACCCATGAAACATAAGTACTGGAGAATCTGTTTTGGTTGGGAGATTTTTGGTAGCCTATTTCTTTTTTACTTTCCTTGTGTCAACTGCACTTGTGTTACGATGAGAACACTCAAATATTGCTGATGTTAAAATCAACAGATGGCACTTTGCCTATCTCAGTGAATGATAAAACTAGTAAGCATCATTCTGAAACTAAGACAAATTTTGTTATGGGCAGAGAATGGCAAATTGTAGTAGATTGGCAAAACTGGGCAGCTTTTCTGACAAACTTTAGAAAATCATGGGCCTTGCTAAGATTTTACTGTAATACTCTTGTGATATATTGGACTGAAGCACAAAAGAAGGTGCAGTAAAGAAATGTTATTTTCTAAATATTTAAAGCTGTCTGATGTGCTCTCTTAGTATTTGCACCAAATTGTTACGTCTGCAGGTGTTGCAGAGAGCTGTGGTTGTGCCATCAATAGCTTTGTGCACCTTCATTCTGTGTGAGGCTTTTGCTGCATGGCAACCTGCAAATGTGGGGTTTCATCTGGGTTATCAGAGGAATAAACTTCTCAGGATACTGTACAGAGGTCTGTCTTCATAGCTACTGCTTTAAAGAGAAAGTAAGATGACTTTTTATTTACTAATATTAACATCGCAATTTTTATTAAAACTTTATATTAGCAGAAAGCAAATGCTGTTTGTCATCTGATTCTCCTTCAGAGACCTTTTTTCTTTTCTGGCTTTCTCCAGTGCTCTTAGGAGCTTCGGCGGGAGAGAGAATGGGGTGAATTGAGTGTTGAGGATTATGTTTGGAACTATTTTATCCATTAACTTCAGCTTAGAGTAGATAATAGCAGTAGGTAAGAGACTAACTGGTTCCTTTTCAGCCATGGAAGTAATCAGCTGGGGTGGTCCCAGGGCGCTCTGGGCACGAGTATTGCTGAGTGATCATTGGCTGCCACCTGCGTGACAAAGTAAAGGACCAACCCTTCCATTTATACCAGTGGAGCCAGATCACGGGAAACAATTGACAGGTAAAATATACTTTTGAAAATTTAAGGGAGAGGAGAGAGGACACATAATAAAAATGGAGCAAAGAAGCTAAAAGATTTGCAATAGATAGTAAAGGTTGCTCCTGTGAAACTTTATGTATCTATAGCTTACTTCTTTTTGGGGAGAGGCACACAACAAAGTTCAGGTTACTTTGTTGCTCCCCTGGCAACAGAGCCTTGCTAAGAAACAATGTTCACTGAGTTATAGCAGCAGCACATCTACCACAATTTTATTGTAGTTAGAAAGTACAATTCATATTTATGCACACACTTCTAGATCTTTGAATGCTTGTTGACTGGACATTGGGTGTTTTGCACTGATCCAAGAGATGGGTATGGCTTTTGATTTTTTAGAAAGACTAAAAATAAGTTGCTGAATTTTCAAGTTTAGCAGTTGATTGTACTGTAGCGAGTTACTGTAGAAGTTAAAATGCCATGCAAAAAATGAATGTAAGTAAGTCTTAATCTCACTGATAAAGGAATTGTTAGCATCAATATTTTTCTTGTTTTTATTTTTTTTTATTTAGAGAATTGGCTGAAAATAATTTTTAAGAACGTTTAACTATGTTATTTTTACTTATTTAGAATTGTTAAGCTTATGCTTAGCCCAGCGTGATAGAGGACTGGTGCGACAGCTCGGTTTTGATCAGTGACTCAAAATTGTGATCACCCTGATGTCACCGAATGGCCACAGCTTGTAAAAGGTAAGCATAAGCATATCAGGTTGTTTCTCAGGAGTTTTTCTACTATAATGTTTATTTTAAGGTATTTAATTTGTATGGCCTGAAGTTAGTTTTATAAATAATATTAAGTTGCATTGTTTGTTTAAGATAAGTCAGCTGGCAGAGCTGACTTACACTCTTGCTGACAGTGATTTCAAAGCTCGCTTAGTTTGTCCTTGCCTGCTTTTTAAAATATAAGCAAGCTCTGTATTGCTCCATGATATCCCTCTTAAGAACAATACTATCACTTAAAAGTCCCTGGTAGTTTTTGCTGTTGCACTGAATTTCTGTGTAAATTGTTTAGCATATTTATCCAAGCATGTGTTCAGTTTTTGTTTTGAAGTATTTATCCAGGAGGCTTGATGATGTTGAAGTGTGTGCAAGCTTGCATACCATTACTTTCCTCATCTAGAGAGGTACACTGGAGGTAAAAGGAGTGGCTTGTGGAATGGAGAAGTTGTTCCCTCTGTTATTGGAAATGAGGCACCATTTGAATTTGCGAGCTCATACTGCACTATTCAGATTAGTTGGTGTCTTGTGATCAGTATCTACAATCTAATTGAAAGCTGAAATTTTTAAGAGCATTTGCTCTGAGATTTTCTCTGAACAGAACTCTTGTTTCAGATTTTAAGCATGATGAAAGGACGTCTTGCCGTACTATATAGTTGTTTTTCAATACTGTTGCCTGCTCACAGGAAATAACAAGGTATCTTGTTTGTAAACAATTGGGTATTGCAAAATAAATAGTTTCTCAGCAAACAAGTACAATTCCTGTAATTAGATTGATCTTCCACTTCATTTTACTGAGTATTGAAAGCTTATTTTATTAGGTGCTTGTATTGTCATTTGAAACCTTTTAAAATGGAGTTAATATGTCCATTAATAACTCTACAGATCATAATTGTAGTAGGTCTGTTCATGTTTTAGACAACAGTAACCTGAAGAAATTCTCACCCTGTGTTCTGCAGAACCACTTACCTTAGAGGACCAAACCTTTTTTGACCCAGCTAGATGGTATTTTTTCTTATATTGTTTATCTTATAGATGCAACCTTTTTTTTTTTTTTCAGCAACATATACCGAAGTGTATTGTCTCTTTACAGTCATCCTAATAATATTCTCACACACAGTGAGGATAGGAAAAGATTTTGGATATACTGCTAGCTTTTTTCATGTCTGTACTGCAGATCACCAGGCTGCTTTTTTTACATGCAGAGTTTAGATGCCAGTCTGCTCTTTTTCTGTAATTCTTCATGCTGCTGTTTATTTTAAAGGCTGAAAAACTTTAAGTATACTTGATGTTTTTCTTTTAATACCACTATTTCCTTTGCATTTTCATAGCAACTAAAAGCACTACTTTCCCAAAGCCTCAATGTGTTGTATGTCCCAATACTAGAGTGAAGAAAGCGAAGCCTTAAATGTCCAGACATTTTGCTACCATTTTCTGAAGTCCTGAAAGTAATACCATTTTCTGAATGCTACCATTTTCTGAAGTCCTGAAAGTAAATAGAGGAGCTAACCAGTATGAGGATAAACATGTGTCTTTCTAGTATTCCAGCTCCTAACACTTAAATGCTCAGGTGAATGAGTAGGAAAAAAAAATTGAGATGCTTTTCACTAAGCATTTAGAGGCTTGCTTTGGTCACTGGAATTAAAAGGAAGTTCTTGTTTGTTTTGCTGCTGAGCATTATTTTTGTCAAGCAACTGCCTTGTCAATACTGAATTTAATAAGTAAGGGAGACATAATTTGGAGATAATAAATAAAGGCCAAATTTTGAGATTGGGCAGTTTTTATGTTATTTTCCAGTTAAAGGTTAGTTACATTTTAAGCTAATGTGAGCTGGATAGGAAGTTCAGAATTCTGTCTCTAGTGTGTGTTAAATTTTATAAGTTAGTGAAATACAAACAAATAATTTACTGTGTTCTGCATCGTCTGTCACCACACAGTATCCAGCTAACTTGGGAATTATAATTTGTCTACCAGAAATGCCCTCTAGGCACTGGGTCTGTTTAGTAGAATCCAAAAAGTTATTAAGATCTGGTACTTCAGAAAAGGAACTAAAATTTTAGTAGAGAGTTTGGAGAGCAGTCCAAACTTTAATAGGAGAGACCATGCAGTAAAATAGCACAATGAAATAGGAAAAAAGGAATGTAGCAGGCTACATGTGGAGATTTCCAATAGCATTTAGAATATTATAGATAGTTATATAATAAATAGAGAAATTTAGAAATTTCATTCCTGTAAATATTGATTGATTTTTTTTCCCTGTAAAGCTGTGGGAAAGTCTGCTTGGCTGTCCTAACTGAAGTCTCCCAGCAGACTCTGGTGAAACCTAAAAAGTTAGTTCTGTTTGCAGATTTTAGCTCACTTCTGTTTTTAAAGAGCTGTCATGAAAGACATTTTTGCTCATCTAAGCTGCAGAGTTTTATTCTAACGGCTGTGTTTTGTTTCCACTCCTTGCATAGAATTTCCAGCATGGCAGTTCTGGTCAACTGTAGCAAAGGTTCCATAAAGGCTGATTTCAAGGCATTCTAAGATTATGGGAATCAAAACTGATGCATTTGTACTGCCTTGTCTTCTGGCTTCTCTGGCTACAAACTCACTGGCTAGGGGGAAGTTCTACCTCAAAGAGAGAAAAAAAAACACTGTCTGAAAAAAAGTTGACAGTTGAATCAGTGCTGTCTTACGGAAGATGGGAAGAAGGAGCGTTCCCAAGCAAAGGTTCCATAAAGGCCGATTTCAAGGCATTCTAAGATTATGGGAATCAAAACTGATGCATTTGTACTGCCTTGTCTTCTGGCTTCTCTGGCTACAAACTCACTGGCTAGGGGGAAGTTCTACCTCAAAGAGAGAAAAAAAAACACTGTCTGAAAAAAAGTTAACAGTTGAATCAGTGCTGTGTTACGGAAGATGGGAAGAAGGAGGAGCTAAATAACTATAATTTAATCTGCTTTAAGTTATTATGGAGCTATACCCCTTGAATTAGTCTGTAAATTAAGTCAGTGGGGTCACCAAGCTAAACATGGGTGCTGCTTGTGCTAGGCAATAACACTTAATTCTGAATATTACTGGCTGATCTCTTCGCTGGATTGAAGAAAACAGAAAGCTGTCTGTGAGGTTAGCTCCATGAATTCAGGAGCATCCATGACAAGGGATGCGAGATTTGTTTTGATATCCTTTTGGACCCTGTTTCTGAGCTGCTATTCCTAGAATCCAGCTCTATGGAGGATGTGTTGGTTGCAGTTGCTCACTGATGATCTTTGAGTACACGTTTTGGTTACAGAAGTGGTTATGAAGAATTAGCCCAGAACTGGAGCACTGTGCAGCCTGAATGCGGAAGTACTGCCAGCAGATCTCTTCCCTAATGGCTCCTGTTGCGTAAGCGTGGGGAAAAAGTGCACTCCTTGTTAGGGAAATTTGGCTTAATTGTATTGTCGTGTTTTATGTGAAAAACTGTATTCTAGAGTTTGATAAGTTAAATCTGCAAATATCAAAAAGTTAATGCTTTTAGTGGCAATAATACACCCATCACATTCCATCTTTCATAATTTCATATTGTAATGACTTAAAAGAACAAGCAGTGCTTAAGGTTTTCTGTCTGGTTTTGCAGATCACCAGGAGAACCACACTCTGAGAACATTGAAACTAGCCGAATGTAAGTAAATGAGTGGATGAGTTTGGTTTGTTTTGATAAAAATATTCTGAACATATATAACAGTAACTCTTGCATCTGCTTAATAAAAAGAAGACAGAAGCTGAGTAGAACTGTGAAATTGCCTTAGAAAATTTCAAGTTAATATTTTGCAGCTTTTGCAGTTCTAAGCCTCTGTGGAAACTGGGTTTGTTTTTTTTTTAGGGTGAATGAGTTGGAGGGAAAGTTCAGAGGTTTAATTTAATGTGAACCAGTAGATGGTAGCATAATACAATGTCAGAAATTTTACAGCCTATATTCAGACTTGACAGAAGGGATGTAATTTCTACCTGTCATTCACTAACATCTTGCATGGGTTTGAAGACACTTCAGTACTAAGGCACAATACCTGCTGGTATCTCTTGTGGCAGATTGTTGAACTAAGAAAAAGAAATTGTGACTTAATTTAGTGAAGTTATATGTCAGTTACTTCTAGAAAGAGAAAACTAGCTCTCTTTCACTAACATCTTGGTGACAGGTCTGAACCTTTTTGTCTGTTGTCATTGGATTAGAAGCCAAGATGAACTAAAATCAAGATTGTGGTGGACTGAAACGTCCATTTCAATTCAAAATTCAAAGGAATTACAGGAATTCAGAGGACCATTTAAAAACAAAAAAAGTTTTTTGAGACTATATTCTTCTGTGAGTTAGCAAACAAAGTTTTTTCTAGCTATTCAAACTGTCCTGTCATAGAACTCAAACAGGGAAGCCACAAACTGCTCTTCTGGATTACAGCACAAGTTCCAAAATAATAGAGGGACTGTAGCCCAATAGTTGGTGTGCTGTCTGAGTCTTCAAAGGATCTGGGTTCATTTTTCTTCTGCCATGAACTTCTTCTCTGACCTTAAACTGTCTCCTTGACGCCTTTCCCCCAAGCGGTCTAGCATTGTACATGCAGTGGGCTGGATGCCATTTTCAGGATGTTTTGCAGGCTAGTGACATAGTGTGAATTGCTCAAGGACTTCTCTGCTGTAGCTGCCCGACTTAAGGAGGAGCAAAACTGCAGTGAGCCCCCCCCCCATATGTTGGACTGCGTACCTAAAAAATGAGGAGGAGGAAACAGTGAGGGCTTTTCTGATGTGTTATTAGCAGTTCACTGCAGTGAAGCCTTTTCTTGCACTAGAAGAAGCAGTTCTCCTGGTATGACAGATTTATTTTCCATCACTCATACCATCTGCTACAGAAGTGCTGTCCAGCTGCTTTCTTAGAAATGCAGTGAAGGTTGCAGGGACCCTGGCCTGAAAGGTGACTCTACCTCTTGGTGCCTGGTCTCTGCGTGTTGCTGCGTTAGAGGTCGCAGGGTAAAAGCCCTGCCATGGTCTCTTATTCCTGCTCCAGTAGCAGCCCATGCTGCATTGTGGTTTATTGTTCCTGCAGTGAGTTGAGTTGTGTTCTTTAGTTTCCCTGGCCTAGCCAAATAGAGGAACTCAGGCTGCAGGCTGGCTGTAGTCCACTCTGGATGTTACCAGTTGAATTAATTGTTTTTATGCATTTTAAGCAAAGATGTATCAGCAGTACTCACCTAGACTGGTGTGAAACAAAGACTTTAAGAACCTAGCATAAATCAGACAGAAAAGGCAGTAAAGCTTTATTTCTTCTAGAAGTTTGACAATTCTTTTGTGTGTGTGAACTATTTTCCTTAAAACCGAACATTAAAAAAATTACAGTAGTAAGCTTTTCTGTGTTATAGCTGAATACTTTTTCTTTTTGATGTAGACCATTGATCAGAATGGCTCTGACTTCATAAATTTTAGCTATTTCTCTAAAATAAATGTGAGCCAGTCAAGCTGTAAGAATTCACATATTTGATGAGAGTTATACAGTATATTTGCAAAACTAAATGTTTTTTTTAAAACTTATCACAATGTAATGTGTACTACATCTGTTACAGAGAATTTTTGCAATCCTGCATAGCTGCTCTTGCCACATAGGGTGGAATGGCAGGTTGAGTGGTATAGTTGTGACCTGCTGTGTTGCTAAAATAGTAACTGTTATTTACATGCCTAAAATTAATTAGTAAATGCAGGACTAAAGCAAGTAGTGTTTTGTTTGCACAATGAATGGTTGGTTTTGCTCTGGTTGGCTGATATAATTGCTTTATTTATTTCCGTGTTTTGAATTGCTAAGCTTCATACCAAGAGCATAGTCATATATGTTTCACATGTGAGAATGAAAAGAAATTGAAAAAAAATATTCAGATTCTAACACAGCAAGATCTTCCATATGTATGTCTTGCTTATCCCAGGCTTTTCAAATTCTGGGTCTCCATGTGATGAACGTCTTGGTGCTAGCTCAAAGTTAGGAGGCTTTTTATCTTAGAATTGTTAAGGTCAGCATTTTCTGTCTTCTCCTGTCATACATCTCCATTGACTTTCCCCTTTGATTAGTATAACCTTCTTAAAACCTCTTTAGCACTAAATCACATAATTTGATTGTTTAACCATAACTTCTTATATGTTCATGTGTTTTCACTCTGTATTTTTTTAAACTTTTTTTTTATCAAGGCAAAGGTATGGCTGTCTTCATACGGCTTTCTGTGCATTCATCTTTGCTTTTGAGGATGAGATTCTTTGCAATTTTGAAGCCCTTCTCTGTTTTTGTAATATGACTGTAGCAAGGCAATTTTTCCAAGACGAGATTGTGAGGTAGATGCTGTGTTACTCACTCCCTTTCCCTGTCTTCCTGCATTGCTCCATGTAACCAGGACAGACCTTCTGTTCTCAGGGTTGTCCTTTCTGAGGAAATGCCTCGGCATGCTTTTGTCAGCACATGATGTTCCCAGAGGCATGCTGGATCTAGAATACACAGTGGGAAGGGAGGTCCCTTTAGTTAAACCAGTATGGTCCAAGCACAGCTCACAATCCACCCCTGCTATTGGGGTCCACCACACTGGAAAGAATGGAGTTTGGAAAATGTGAGCTCCATGCACTTGCACATTTGCCAGATGCATGTTTGGCTGTGCTGCCAGAGGCTGAGGCAGGTAAAAGGTGTTCCAGCACTGCTGGAACAAAGGGCTGGGCTCTGACTGTGGGTGGACTGTTTGGCAGTTTGGTGTGCAGGGTTCTTCAAAAGGCTCTGTGTGGGCAGTGCTATTACTGGAATCCTGTCTTTTCTAGCACTGCGCTTCTTACTCTAACTAAACAGAAGCAAATAAAACCAGCATGCAAGGTTTGAAGCCAAAGCTTGCACAAAGCAGTATTTAACTTCACAAAGATGACCACATCTGCAACACCTTCTATAACAGTTTTTGATATGCTGGTCATCTTGTTTTCAAAGTGTAGTATAACTGCTGTAGATGTGTCTCTTTATGCATCTGCAAACACATCTATTAAAAGTTGTTTTGATATTAGTACAGAAAAAACTTTTCTGGGTTTCTATGCATATTAATGCTTTTTTTTCCCCCTATTAAGAAAATTGTTTATGAACATTTTGGAACTTCTAAGATCCTAATAGCCATTGTAAAACAGGCTGTTGTAGATTTCCATTTAATAAAATTAGCCATCTTGGAGCAATCATAGAATCATCAAGGCTGGAAAAGAACTTCAAGATCATGGAGTCCAATCCTTGACCAGTCACCACCTTATCAGTTAGACCATTGCACTATGTTCCATGTCCAGTCATTTCTTGAACAATTCCAGGCAGGGATGGTGACTCCACCACCTCTGTGGGCTGCCCATTCCAAAGCTTGACAGCCTTTCAGTGAAGAATTTTTTTCTGATGTCCAACCTGAACTTCCCCTGATACAGTTTGATACCATTTTCCTCTTGTCCTGTCACTGGTTGCCTGGGAAAAGAGACCAACCCTCACCTGGCTACAGCCTCCTTTCAGGTGGTTGTAGGGAGTGATTAAGTCACTATGCACCCTCCTTTTGTCCAGGCTAAACACCCCTAGCTCCCTCAGCTGGTCTTCCTAAGACTTTTGCTCCAGACTCCTCACCACCTCCATTGCCCTATTCTGGACACACTCCAGCACCTCAGTTACTTCCTTGCAGTGAGTGGCCCAAAACTGGAGATGGGATTCAAGGTCCAAGAACAGGGAGATCACAGCCTTGTCCTGCTGGCTGTTGCTGATGCAGGCCAGGTCACCACTGGCCTTCTCGGCACACACACTGGCTCATGTTCAGCTGCTGTGGAGCAGCACTGCTAGGTTCTTTTCCACTGGGCAGCTTTCCAGCCTCTCTGCTCCAGCCTGTAGCACTGCACAGTGTTGTTGTGGCCCGCATGCAGGACCTGACACTTCACCTTGTTAAACTTCATGCTGTTGGCCTTGGCCCTATCAATCCATCCTGTCCAGATCCCTTCCTGCCCTGCAGCAGATCAACACTCCTGTCCAATGTGAGATTTATTTGTAAAAATAGTCTAACAGTTATTATGTCCTAAGCAAAAACCATTGAGAAGCGTGTTATTTCATGCTGGTATTTCCAGACAAGTATGAAACAGCCATTTATATTTCTAAAATTTAGGTAGACTTAGAAACAAAAATGATGCAGTTATGCAAATATTTTAAACTTCAGGCACGTTTGAATGTAAATATAAACTTCAATCTAAATGCTTTGTAGGTGAAATTTAAATTATTACATGCTTCAAATATTTCAAAAATTTCTTTAATGTTTAAACTTCTGCTTTTCTTTGTGGCAAGAGATTCCTTTACATGGTATTTCTTTTGTATTTAGTTTAAGGTATTTCAGAAATGCAAATTACATTCTGTTTCATAGGAACTTTTGAACCTGTACACTCAATCCTTGTTTTTTTGTAGGTTTTAGACATTCAAAAATTACTACAGCAGCCCAGTTCACCTTTGGCTTGGTCATACATGTTTCTTGGATTTTGGCACCATTTAAATCACAAATGCAAAGTACTAACTATCTGGCTTTTTATTACCTAAAGAACATATGGAAAGCCTAAAAGCAATTATTTTTTCTGTAACTACTACAAACTAATGAATGCTAATTTCATTTTAAACAGAAAAGTGTGCTTGTGAAACTGTTGGACTTCAAGAAAGGAAGTTGGGTGTCTATTTTAGGTGCCTCTGCTCCTCTGAAGCATTTCTTGAGGAGGTTATACAAGGCCCACTGAGTGGGAAGTTAGCTTTCAGTCATAAGAATATGCCTGTGAAATGTTTACAACTTCAGCCACACCGGTGCAGTTTCATAGTCGGATGTGCAGCAACAATGAGTATTTGGAAATGTATATGCAAGTCAGTCACTACAGCCTGAGCTAGAGTAGCAACTGTGTGTACTCATGGGCAGTGAAGTTTTCTTCACTAGAGTTTTCTAAGGGACCAGTTGCTCTTGACCTGATCCCTTTATAGGAGCCTACAGAGAGCTGCAGTCTTCATGGGTGTAGCATGAGCTAAGAATAGAGAGTGGTTTTATGTTACTTTGCTTGATGAACCCATTCTAATGCCTCAGGCCAAGAACTTTAGTTTTCAGCATACTAAATGAGCAGGGGAATGTAGAAAGAGTTTCACTTTTGGACAATACAGAGAGTTGTCTGAATTCGTTTGCTGAATAATGTAGAAATAGAAAATGTGGGCTTTTGGCAATGAACACTGATAATACCTGAAGTACACCAGTTAGAATGTGGTATGGAAAGTCTGAAAATCTCACACTGACTTACTCAGAGCTGCATTTTCTGTAAGTCCATTTATTGATGAACCTCAGTAAGGGTAGCTCTTGTGGAAGGCTTGGTAAATTCTACATTGAGATCTGTATCCTCACTTAAATTTATTTATTTTATTTATTTACCTAAATCATTTGTCTGAAGTAACATGAAAAGTCTGTGGAGTAGCTGCCAACGAGAGAGGGGCAGGATCCAGCTGGATCCCTGTGAGTTGATGGGGGCTTTCGGAACTTATACAAGAATACTCAAAGAGATGGCTGATGTCATCGCAAGGCTTCTCTCAAGGATTTTTCAATGATCTGGGGAATCTGGAGCCATCTCTGTCAACTGGACACTGGCTGATGTTGGCCCAATATTCAAGAAGGGCTGGAAGAATGACCCTCCAAACTACAGGACTGTCAATCTCATGTCAGTGCCTGGTAAAATTATGGACAAGATTATTCTGGGAGTTATTGGAAAAGACCTGAAGGACATCACAGATATCAGTCATAGCCACTGTTGGTTCATGTCAAACCTAATTCCTTTTTATGACAAGGTAACCCATCTAGTTGATCAAGGGAAGCCAGTTTATGTAATCTTTTTGGGTTTCCTGAAAGCTTCAATACTGTCTCTCACAATATCCTTCTGGATAAAATGTCCAGAATACAGCTGGATAAATACATCATGTGAGGGGTGAGCAGCTGGCTCACAGGTCAGGCACATGTGGTTTCAGTAAATGGAGTGACATCAGACTGGTGACCTGTCACTAGTGCAGTTCCACAGGGCCCCATCCTTGGCCCTCCTCAACATCTTCATAAATGACTTGAATGCAGGTCTCGAAGGTATACAGAGTAGGTTTGCCAGGGATACTAAATTGGGAGGTGCTGTTGACTCCCTGGAAGGCAGCCAGGTTGTGCAGAGAGACCTCATCAAATTAGAGGGTTGTGTAATCACCAGACACATGAAGTTCAACAAATACAAGTGCTCCTGGGACCTGCATCACAGAAAGGCCCCCAGGGGATCCTGGTCAGTGGCAAGTTGAACATGAATCAGCAGTGCCCTGGCAGCCAGGATGGCCAGCCTGGGGTGCATCAGGCACAGCATGGCCAGCCAGGCATGGGAGGGGACTGTCCTGCTCTGCTCTGCACTGGGGCAGCCTCACCTTGAATGAAGATTGTGTGCGTTTTTGGATATTGCAATATGATAAAGATACAAAGCTGTTGGAGAGCATATGAAGTAGGGGTACAGAGATGGTGAAGGGCCTTGAGGAGAAGCCATATGAGGAGTGTCTGACTCCACTTGGGCAGTTCAGCCTGGAGAGTGACACTGAGGGGAGACCTCATCATGGTCTACAGCTTCCTGAAGAGGGGAAGCAGGGGGCAGACGCTGATCTCTGTGGTGACAGGACCTGAGGGAATGGCATGAAACTGTGTCAGGGAAGGTTTAGGTTAGATATTAAGAAAGGTTCTTCACCCAGAGGGTGGTTGGGCACTGGCACAGGCTCCCCAGGGAAGTGGTCACGGTGCAGGCCTGGGTTCAAGAATTGTTTGTTAGGCTCATCGTGTGATTCTTGGTGATGGTTAGGTGCAGGGCCAGAACTTGAACTTCGGTGATCCTTGTGGGTCACTTCCAACTAAGGATATTCTATGAAATTCTAATACTGCTGTATTCTTGTGTGTACACCATATTGTTTGCTTCCATACTGATTAAAAAAAAATTAAAAATACAACCTTCAGTCAGACCTCCTGCCTCTATTAGAGTTTCAGAGAACTTGAGTCAGTGAGTCTCCAGCCACAATTTAAAATAGATATGTTGGTAGAAACAGCCTTATTGTAGGCATGGCAAAGTTTGAGAAGTAATTGGTAGCTAAAAACTAAAAGCAAAGAAAAATTGAGTCCTTCAGAAGTTAACTGTTAGAGACAAGTCTAAGCTTAGCTTTATTACCTGGCATCTCAGACATGACCTGGTTAAAGCGAAGTGTTGTTTAAAATGATAAAATGTGTTGTGTGTTTATACCTTGATCTAACAGTTTAAACTAGAGTGTGAGCTAGAAAGGTGTGCATGTTGGTGACCACAGCTCAGGTGTAAAAATTCAGCTTTTCCATATATAAATGCTTAACCTGCTTACAATTTACAATATTTCACACTAAATCTAAAGGTCTGGAATGGTTGATGGTCAGGAATGATCAAAGCACGAAATTTTGCATTCAGAAACAGTTGTCTCTGAAATAACTTGCTGTTCCAAGTTGCATTAAAATGCTGTTGCTTTGAGGGGATTTGGATGGTTTTTCTTAAAGCCTCTATACTAATAGCTGAGGTATGAAAGACAAGATTAAAAAAACCCCATTATTTTTAGATGTACATGGAGAGAGGCAGATTTTCGTAAGTCTACATACAAAAATGTGAGAGATCAGAACACTTCCCTTAGATTAGAATATATTTATTCCCTGTTACACAGTAATGGTTTTAATGGTATTGCACATGCTGCTTTTTCTTTCCACATCCATCTCAAAGTGCCATGGAAACCTTTCTCCTCAGTTGGTTTTTTGTTTGTTTTCTTTTCTTTGGAACATACTGGGACATTTGAAAGCTCAGGTAGACATCAAAGTAATTGTTTTCCTTGTAAGATGTATTTTCTTCTCTGGGATCATGAGATCTTGAAGGGTGAAAAGAAAGAAGCAGAGGTCTTACTGCTGAGTAATATAGACCTCAGCAGTCAGTCTCAGAACATTTTCCCTTTTCAAGTAACTGCATTGAAACTGCTATTTAACCAGCCATTATTAACAGCGAGGTGCAGCGAGTGCTGAGTAGTGCTGATGGGTCTAGCACTTAAGTTCTGAAGTACTTGTTCTTTGCAGAATCTGTGCATACATCTACATCAGGAAAGACAATTTTAAGTTAATATCATAGTTTGTGATGTTCTAATCTTTGTAGTACGGTATCACTAAAGTTCTGTAAAAAGCCTGTATGTTAAACCTAGTCAGAATATATGAAATCTTTTGTTGTTGGTAGTTTTCATTAATAACTTACTATTTTAAATGCAGTCAAAGTTTGGGAGTTTTTCTGAAATGTGGTCAAACATGGCGCTCTTGGTGCTGCATGTAGCTGCTTCTGTCCTGGTTACCTGCAGCTTTTCAGTGATTTCTTTACTATTTGCATGCTTCTCTGGAAGTCTGTGACCTTATTAATAAGGCAGTTACATTCTCTTTTCTGCATATATATAGTACTGAGCACTAGACTGGTATAGCGATACAGTTGTGATTTTTTAGAATACATACTTGGCACCTGTAATGGCAGGAGAAACAGAAGGATTTCGCAGATAGCACTTTCTGGTTTTTTATTTTATTTTATTTAGACAACCATATAATTTACTTAGGCTGAGGAGAAATAGATCCAGCTTTGAGCCCATCTGTAATTGTGTTTTAGCATCACTTTAATTAATCAAGGAATATTTTTTGTACAGATTTAAATATACTAAATATGATAATTTAGTCATATGAAATCTTGTTAAAATGGGTAAAATAGTATAATATTGATAGCATTGCTAAATAAATGTCTGAATTGTTTGTGTTTCATGTCTCTTTCATCTGTCAGTGGCTACCATGCCTCAGTACTATATATTAGATTCAGCACCTGTACAACATCCAGTTTTGTTTCAGTTGCAGCCTTGTTTTGCATCCAAATTGCTCTCTTTTTTAGCGACAGTTGAGATTGTTCAGAACTGTACAACATTGTCTCCACTGTAGCACTACCATGTAAAACTGCATAAACGGGATTTATGTTTTACTTACATAGAACCCACAAATTAAATTCTATGTTAAATATATTTGCATTTGTCAAGATGAGAATCCTGCATTTAAAAACATTTTCTGTTGCATTCTCTCTGACAGAAATCTTGTGTTTCAGTGCCTGACTAATCTCTGCCTTGCTGATGCTATTGAATGAGCTTTGTATGTGAAAGCTCCACTAATCCTTGTACTTACTGTTTGAATGTTTGCTACAGGAAGCGAGCAGCTGCAAAGCATCTAATAGAGCGCTACTACCACCAGTTAACCGAGGGCTGTGGAAATGAAGCCTGCACGAATGAATTTTGTGCTTCCTGTCCAACTTTTCTCCGTATGGATAACAATGCAGCAGCCATTAAGGCCCTCGAGCTTTATAAGATTAATGCAAAACTCTGTGATCCTCATCCCTCCAAGAAAGGAACGAGCTCAGCTTACCTAGAAAACAATTCCAAAGGTGCCCATAACAATTCCTGCACTGACAGAAAAATGAACAAGAAGGAAATGCAAGGCCCAAGAGATGACTTTAAAGGTAAGATGTTTACAGTTTTCCTAAAATCAAACACGTTTCATATGCACAAGTACATGCCAACATAATTCACTCTGATGGTATTCTGCTGACTTCAGTAAAATACAGTATTAGACAATTGAGTATTTTAGTATGTATTCAGAAAAATGGATGGATTAGTGCTGAACACTGATTTTCCAAATCTGGATTTTGACCGTATCTCTGTTAAAATCAACATGCATTTGATGTCTTACAAGAATAATGATTTTTGCAAATATGGAAAAGCTTTAAGTGCTGTTGTATGACTGTTTTAGTTTCACTAGTTTTGCAATTATTCTGCAGTTAATAAATTATAAAAGTTATACCTTAACTAATTTCAGATTCTATGGTAAGAAACTTGACAGATGAAAAAAATGATACAGTGATTGATAGGCAATACATTCACCAAGCTTAAAAATGTTTGAGCACAGTTATTTTTAAGCCAGTGTAAAATGAAATGCTGTTCTATATGTATGTTTTCTAACTTCTGTTTAGCTTTTCAACAGTTTGTAATAGTAAATACATACAAATGGAATAATGTTAGTTGTCACCTTAACCTGTGATGCAACCATGTCCAGAAATCATGCCAAATGGTTTTTAAAGCCATTAACATTTGAGCAGACCACCTTTAAGTGTTATGGCAAAAAGTGGTATAAACACAAGTCCAGATGTATTTATTTTAGCTAAAGAAGGTGAAATTGTTTACAGGAAAAATTTAAAAATCCCTACAAAACTAGCAATAAAACATAACACTGTGTTATAAGCAATCCAAGATATTCCAGCATCAGTTTCTTCTTTATCTGATGCAAGGATAAATTTGTACCCAAATTACTTATGATCTGAATAAGCAGAGAGGCAAACACTCTCTGAAGAGTAGGAAGGGGAAAGGGAAGGAAATGTAGTATTAGATGAGCAAGGGGCACATTAAGTCTGTTTTGTGGGTTTTTTTCTTGATTTTTTTGGTATTATTTATGGAGCTTTTCAGACACAGAATTTACCTTATTCTGTCTAACCATCCCCTCTCCCCAAGGCAGGTACTTAAGAGTCTTCTGAACCTACCTCCAGAGACAGTCTGTTGGCTACAGCAGTGACTCAGACTTCCTCTCTTGGAGCATCACAAGTATTGACCTTTTTTGTAGCTGTATAGACAGGGGGCTTTTAACGCATTCTTAAAGCTCATCTGAGGCTTAGTTACCTTTGGAATTGGGTGCTGTCTAAGGCATCTAGCACTCTGAAATTTTTTAAGGTTGATCTGCTACAACAGTTACTGGGAAATCTGCAGCCAAGTTTAGCAAAGCTGAGGAAAAGGATGTGTAGCTTGCTTTTATGCTTGACATGGGATTAAAAGTTCTAAATAAATTTAAAGAAATATGCTTCAGAAATAATTAAATTAACTTTTCTGGAGTTCCTGAAATACTAAAACCTTTAAAAGAGTGAATGAGGAAATTCCTGTTTAAGTATAGAAATCTGAATTTTATAATACTGTTGAATTGTCAGTGTGTGCTGATGATTTTTATGCTATGAATAATGTCTTTGGTCCAGAGTCAATGAAATTGAGACTGTGGTCCTCATTTTGAGGAGCCATGTCATGGAATATCATCTGTATCAGCAGACAAATTTCTCTTAACACAAGAAAATTAAGACTTCGTTTAAGACAAGTTTTGCTTCCTGAGCATGCACTGCAGCAGATAAAAATAGATGTTGTGCTAAGCTTGAATGCTTTAAAAATGTTTTCAGTAGAGCTATTTTTTTAACAGGACAGATGTTAGTTTTGAGATTTGTCAGTGTCTTCAGATTGGAAGTCAGTCTAAACTTAAGACATAAGCCTAACCTTTCCTGTGTTATATGTGCTCTAAGAGTGGCTTGGGGTTCTGTGAAAGGCAATAGGTTGTCTGTCTTTGCATCATCTAATTTGTATTTTTAATTTAATGACTTCTTGGAATGAGTAGCCGTGTAGGTAATCCCATTTCAAAATATTTTAATATACAACATCTTCATTAAACGGGGTTTTTTTTAAATTATACACTTCTCTCTACAGAGGTAGGTAGTTGTAGCATGGTTGGTGAATACAATTTTGAGATGTTTTCTCTAGAGATGCTAATAAACTGATTCTGTTTTATTTCTAAATTATGTGTTAGTTCAGAAGAATCTGCTTAAACTAGAATATCTTCTCAGGTCTGGTCATGTTTACAGTAATTTTACTATAAATCGTCACCTGATGTGAAAGAATCTGTGGGTTCTGTTTGAGAAGTAACATAGAAAGCTATAAATAATGTTTTCTTTCTTTTTTCTAAAGAGAAAGGAAGATTTCAAATAACAAATGGACCCTTCGAATGACATATTTTGTATCAGGAGTTTGGGGAGAGGGAGAACAGACAGGTATTTGGAGCAGATGATGTGTGTAAACCATCTTGTTCCTCTGAATAACATGTTGATTAGTATACCCAAGTTGCTTATCTTAGTGAGGCCTAATGTACAAAGACAGAATCTACATGCCACACTCTATGTGTAATTTAGAAGGCAGCATAAATTTCAGAGCATATATTGAGGGGTTTGGGAGGGTTTTCAGGCACCAGTTTAGTCTAAAAACAATTGCAGAAAGCATTAAAAAGAGAAATAAGAAATCTTATATTGCCATTAATATACAACAAAACAAGTGATTGAGTCTTTTCTTTAAGGTCTGCTTTGAAAAAAAGAGGTTGATACAGTCTAGTTTGTTTAGTTTAATGACTTACACATTAACTATGCAAATTTACCAGAAGACTGTATTGTCACAGCCTTATTCATTAAGGCTTTTAAAGTTTAAACCTCTTACTGATTGCACTTGTTTAGACAATACAGTACTGTTAACTACCTAATGTAGTTAATTGGCTGCAAAACAGTATCACTATTGTGCACATTCTCTGATTGACATCCATGAATAAAATATTTTACTAAGTCAGTGAATGAAATAATGATTTTTCATGTTAATGAAATTATAAAGTATCTGTCTTGGATTTATTCAGCACTGACCCTGTTTTTGCAGTTTTAGTGATGATATGACACACAGGTTTCTTAGGTAGGGCAAACCAGAAGTATATTATCTTTTTAATTTTTATATTAGTAAAACTAATATCTTTATATTTTTATAGATGTGACCTTCCTAACAGAAGACAAGATATATGAAATTCTTGAACTATGTCGAGAAAAAGAGGATTATTCCCCTTTAATCAGGGTGATTGGGAGAGTGTTTTCTAGTGCTGAAGCACTGGTACAGAGTTTCCGAAAAACCAAGCAGCACACCAAGGAGGAGCTCAAGTCTCTTCAAGGAAAGGATGAAGACAAAGATGAAGATGAAAAGGAAAAAGCTGCCTGTTCGGCTGCTGCTATGGAAGAGGATTCTGGTGCATCATCATCTTCGTCATCAAGAATAGGTGATAACACACAGGGCGATAATAACCTCCAAAAACTAGGCCCAGATGAAGTGTCTGTAGATATTGAAGCAGTCAGACGGGTCTATGATAGGTTACTTTCTAATGAAAAAATAGAAACTGCCTTTTTAAATGCACTTGTGTACTTGTCACCTAATGTGGAATGTGACTTGACTTACCATAATGTGTACTCTCGGGATCCTAACTATCTGAATTTGTTTATTATCGTTATGGAGAATGGCAATCTTCATAGCCCAGAATATCTGGAAATGGCTCTACCATTGTTTTGCAAAGCAATGAGCAAACTACCCCTTGCAGCTCAAGCAAAACTGGTCAGATTGTGGTCTAAGTACAGAGCAGATCAAATTCGGAGAATGATGGAAACATTTCAGCAGCTTATTACTTACAAAGTCATAAGCAACGAGTTCAATAGTCGTAACCTAGTGAATGATGATGATGCTGTTGTTGCTGCTTCAAAGTGCTTGAAAATGGTTTACTATGCAAATGTAGTAGGAGGGGATGTGGATACAGATCATAATGAAGAAGAAGATGAAGAACCCATCCCAGAATCAAGTGAATTAACTCTTCAAGAGCTGTTGGGTGAGGAAAGAAGAAATAAAAAAGGTCCTCGAGTAGACCCACTGGAAACTGAACTTGGTGTTAAAACTATAGATTGCAGAAAACCACTTATCCCTTTTGAAGAATTTATTAATGAACCACTGAATGATGTTCTAGAAATGGACAAAGACTACACTTTCTTCAAAGTAGAAACAGAGAATAAATTCTCATTTATGACCTGTCCCTTCATATTGAATGCTGTTACCAAGAACCTGGGATTGTATTATGACAATAGGATCCGGATGTACAGTGAGAGACGCATAACTGTGCTCTACAGCTTAGTTCAAGGGCAGCAGCTCAACCCCTACTTGCGGCTGAAAGTGAGGCGCGATCACATCATCGACGACGCGCTTGTCCGGGTAAGTCCCGCAGCAGCGTGGCCTGTGGGTTTGTTGGCTCTGACTCGTGCAAACTACATGGGCTTGGAGTAACTGAGAAGGGCTCTGTGTGGGTGCACATATACTAGATTTCCTCTAGAACAATCTCTAACAGCTTTATTGTTTGAATTCTAAGCATGATGCTGAAGATTTTGTATATTCAGCAGAACTACTGCTGCTCAGAGTGATTGCAGATTTAGATGTTATAAAGTACCAAATAGCTCTTATTCCCCATTATCAGATCCTGCACAGATCTTGATGGTGACAGAGTGACCAACTTCTGTTTCTTTGTCCTCTGCACTGTCCTGGATCATCCTTTGATGGTAGGGAAAATGGAAGTTAGAATGAAAATGTTTTAGTTGTGTACTCTTCTTGTGGACTTACAAATTTCTAGAAATAAAGCAGTATTTTAATTTGGTGCAAGTACTGATACAACTGAGAAAAGAAGACAGACTTGTTAATACCAAAGAAGTGTGAGAGCAGCCTGTTTCTGAATCTGCTGACTTCTTTAATTAAAACTTAATGCCATTTCTTCATGCATTTTTGGAAGAGGGGAATCATACAGGTACAAACTATTTTGCAGTAAACAGGTCTGTATAGGAACCTTAATGTGTTGTTTATTTTAGGACCCTTCCCTTTTTTGTTTGTTTGTTTTGTTAAAGCTGGTAATTTTCAAAAACTCATTTTCTGGAGTTCTGTTATTAAAGCACAAAGTTTGCAAATTTTTAAATTTACCAATGGTTTTAAAACTTGTCACTGGAGACCTAGAGAGGTGTTTAGAGAGCGTTTGGGAAAATAACCTCATTTTGCCTCTCAGCCCAGCTGTTAATTTTAGTTAAATTTGATGACTTTAACTGCCAGTGAAGGTCAATTGTGAGAACCCTAAATGGCCTCCTGCCTTGATTTTTCTGTATGCCTAGGAATTTCCTGCTGAGTTAGCTGCTTCATGGGAATTGCTGATATTATGATTTGTTGGAGAAAAAAATTGGTCTTGAGTACCAAAAGAAAAAATGAAATTGCAGTGCAGAAGTAGCTTCTGTCTGTAAACTCAACTTTATATTAGGCAAATAAATATAAAAATACTGTCTACCAGTTTTTTTAATTTAAGAATAATCTTTGTAATTTCACTACCTATCAGACTTTCAATCGTGTCCAGTTATGTTTTGTCATATTATTGTAATGGAGTTTATTCCTTGAATATTCAGCTTTGGCCACATAAATACTGGAAAAAAGGGAGGGATAATTCTTTCTCTTTAAGAAATGGAGAGGTAAAAGAGCATAAAAGCTAGTTTTAGGGTGTTCTTTTCAATGCCAATTCCAGCAGAGCAAAAGCAAACCTTCATCTTTATCCGATAATAAGAAGGAAAATCTATAAGTATGAGAAAAGGCATTATCTTGCATACTGCTTGTTGTAGAAGTTGAAATCTTTGAAGACAAAAAAAAATATGTTTGGGTTAAGAAGCTTGTGGACAACATCAAGCTGCAGCAGGGCCACAGCAGTCACTGCTGTGCACGTTCTTGGCCTGTAGGAAGTTTGGGAAATTTAAATTAGATTAAGCTCAAACATACTAATGTAAATTATGATGCGCTTGCAGCAGCCCTTGCTCAGCTTAGCAGCCTGAGTTACATGCCTGGGCAGTTGCCATGGATCCTCCTATGGCTGTTAATTTAAGCTGTCAGAGCATGCTAAATTATGGTGGCCTGACTGTCAGAGCCTTGAGGAAAGTAAGGATTTTAAACTATTTATTTGGGGACAGAAAATAAAGGGAAAAGATGAAATTGTTCTAAATTCAGGTAGTCTGAACTAAACTGTAGTGGTAGCCAAAAGGACCGAGCAGTCCAGGCATTTCTCGTAAATGGAAAATAGATGATACTCAGTAAAATGGAGATGAATACAGAGGTGCCATCCAAAGTGGAGGAAGGGAGTATGTGCTGTTCCAAAGAGATGTTACAAGGTAGCTGTTGTGGCATGATGTGGAAGTAGGGAAAATTTTATTGTGTTGTATGAAGTGGGTACAGAATCTATCTTTTAACTACTGATGTGTTTTAACTGATGATACAAAGCATCATTGCTCAGTGAATATATTTTAAATATTTCCCAGGAAGTGTTAGTGAATGGAATGCTCTAAAGTTGCTGTTGGCCACGGTGTGCCTATTCTTTTTAATTTGTTTCTTCTCATTTTAATATCAGAAAAGATGCAGTAGAAATACATTTGGAAAGTTCAGAGTCTCTTGAAATAAACTGTAAAGTCCCCTTAAGGGTAAAAACAATGATGGAGAGAACATAAAAGATGAATGGAGGAGTTGAATGAGAAATGCTGTTTTTTATAACTGGTAGCCTCTACTTTTATTATCACGAATCAGGCTTAACATAAGCAAAATGACATTTTGTTTTCCACACTGTGTACCTCAAGAGGGTTGGTGTCTTTGCCCAGGACCCCATAAGTCTTCAGGAAAGAAAGATCCATCAAAAGCTAATGGACATTACAGGCATTTTGGTGTGAGCCACACACAAACCTCAGGAAATGTCTAAGCTGCAATTGTGCTGGTAGCGGGAAGTTATTCCAGGGGAGATACTGTTCCACACTGTTGTTTTTTGTCAGAAAGTGCCTGTCTGTTCAAGAATTGCATGCTGTTGTTATGGGAGTCTTTGTAATTGGTTCAGAAGCGATTTTAGTAATTTTCACAATTATTTCCTAATCGGTCTGAAATAGCTCTGGAGGACACTCTTCAGTCTTATGTCCTAAGCCTTAAAACAGTTTGCTCTGTCTCTGATAGGAATCTAAGATGGGTACCATGAGCTTCTGTAGCAGTACTGACAGCATCAAATCTAAGTGAAAGCTGCACTGGATGACTGTGCATCAGGGGTGGCTGCAGTTTTGAGTGTACAGTATTGAACTTAGGAAGAGTCTCACTGAAAAATACCAGAAAGATCTTTCAAAGATAATAATATTCATTAGTGAGAGTATGTTCTTATATCTGTTCAGTGACAAAATGCTTCTGAACATGCTTAATATACAGGTAATTAATTATGAGTACCAACATATTTATCCTCAAATTTCATATTTTTTTAACTTCAGAGGTTTGAACATTTACAGACTTTTTAAAATTGCAACTACTATTTATGTCACTAGACCTGTGTCTTTGCAGAAAAGTAGTGAAGACTTTTTTGAGTATCTGTGGAATAACTGATAACTTCATGATAAAAGCATTTTCAAGAATATTGACTAAAATGAGATTGAGATAGTCTTACTCATATTTTCCTTATTGATGTTGAATATTTTTCAAACAAATATATTGACCAGCCTTTGCAATTTCTTGCAAACACTCTCAGTACTGGCTTTCAGCTAATCAGTTGAGCTGATAAAGTCATTGCCAAGCAGCTGTTTTTCTCCTATAAATACTTAATATTTCAGCTTTTATAAATCTATATGTATATATTCTTACTTCTTGTACTTCAGTAAAGCAAATATGAACACTGGTGATTTTTTTTGTTACTATTAGCAACATAAGACTTTTTTTCCTTTTACTAAGAATTTGAGGCAATACTTTTTAAATACCTTGAAGGCATTAATCTTGTTGAAAGTTGCTTACTGAGAGAAACTTAGTTCCCTGAAACACATACATCTAAGGAAAAAATTTATTTACAAATTCCTTCAGTTTCTTTGCATGTGTAAAACTTGCCTCAGAGACTTATTTTGCCTTTTTTATTTGAAATTATTTAATGAAATATCTTTCTTTGTAGTATATACTTATTGTATACTTATGTGTATATATGTTAGTCTGAAAAGTCACCTGGGGACAAGAATGGAATGTCAGAATTTTTAACACTTTAGTCCCTGTATTTTTTAAGAAATTCTTTTATTTTGGAGTTGGTAGCTCAGTTTAAAGTTCATGAAGGCAGTTGTGCTTTTTTCTGTGTAGCAGGTTTAATAGGTTAGCTGTACTGCTGAATCACGTTGTGTGAGTGTGGTAGTAATGAAAGGAAGAAGTTCCTGAAGGCAGTTATGCTTTTTTTTTTGTCTATCAGGTTTAATAGGTTAGCTGTACTGCTGAGTCACGTTGTGTGAGTGTGGTAGTAATGAAAGGAAATACATCCTTTAATCCTCTCTGCTGCCATTTCATTCCCCAAGAGCTATTTCTTTCATCCCCTTCTTCTGAGTTTACTCTTCTCCCACCCTCATGGCCCAAGTTAAATATGGTGTTCTTCTCAGGCAGCAGTAATTTAAAGGGTGTGAGTTATGACACACAGCTTCTGCAAGTGAAAACGTGGTGGATTCCTTCAGCAGAATCAGGCTTGTACTTGCTTGCAAAAACTCACTTTGACCAATTAGAAACTCACTTTGACAAATTTCACATGGAATGCAGACAGCTAGTGGGCAACAATCCTCTCCTGCTTGTAAATGTCTCTGCTGAGTGTGTTGATGACCAAAACTCTCCTGTGACACCTGAAGCCAGTAGGCAGATTCTCTCCTGTATTAGCAGCAAAGTACTTCAGGAGATTTGACATCGTTTCAGACCACGTTACAGTTTGTGTGTTCAGGTGAAAATGTCAGCCCTGGTATGCATTGGTTGGATGCAGAGCATGTGGCTATTGATGTGTACAGGCTCCAAACGTATGAACTGTAAAGTACAGCTGGAGCAAAGGCTGCTTTGTCACTGTAACTATTACTCTTTCCATGCTGGTTTTTTAGAAAAACATGTTGACCGACTTATGTCATGATGTGTCACTGGTACTTTCAAGCTTAAATTAGCTGTGTTCTGTCATTTTTCTGTCTAGTGTGGAAAGTATTCCTGCCTCTGCCTTAAAGAGAACTTTTATGTTATGATAGAACTTAAGGTGGTTTGTGATCATTTTTAACTGAATAGAAATTAGTTCAGTTGCTATCAATTTTAGGCAGGTCGCCAAACACTGGCATTAAATTAAGCTTTTGTATGTTGTCATATTTGTGTCGTTCCGTGAACATTCCTGTCTTTCAGGAAAGCACTGTTATTCTGTAAACAAAGCAACATCACCCGGTGTCTTAAGTTGTGGTACATTGTTGTTTCAGCAAACGAAATACAGATATTCTTTATGATGTCATCTCTCAGCTTTCAACTTTTCAATTCATACATTCTTCTGCTGCTTTAAACATGCTACACACCTGCTTTTTAGGAAGGCCCTGGAAAACAAAATGATTATTTCACTGATGTGGCCAGTAAAACCATCATGACAGAAAACAACTTCAGTAATACATACAGCTGGATTGTGTTTATCTAGCAGCATCTATGTTGACATGGTTGAGATAGCTGTGATTATTAAAAACAAAGAAAGGGGGTTTTGGCCCCAAAAAACCCAAGAACCAGACAGCAATGACTGAAGTTCATATTTCCCTGCTATAGAAGCACTGCTGCAGTTCTGCTATCCAGTGCCTTCTTAGTGTTGTGTTTGCTGCTGTTGCCTACTGCATTTAATTTTTATTGTGAAGCATCAGTGTTGACACAGATATTCAAAGGAGCAGCTAAACCCACAACTTTGAGTTGAGCAGCTTAGCAGCATTTTCCTGCTTATAGAATCTACTTCAAGGAGCATCAGGCTTTGTTCAAAATACTGGATTTTTGATAATCCTTTATCTGACTCCCTTGCAGACATCCAGTCCACTGTTCTAATCTGCCTAGCCAGCATTGCTCAACTAAGACTGTTTCCTTCCTATTTTTTTTTTCAGGCTGTTTTTGTCAGCCAAAAAATAATTTTGAAATTTCTTTAACTGCTCTGTATGTATAGCTATGAACACCTTCCTTACTGCATTTCCATGACACAATAGTCTTTACACTGTCATAGGGTTGCTGTCCCAGAAGAAATGCAGAGACAGCATATGCTTTCTCAGAACTCATGCAAATTCATAAATCATGCAATATATATTAAATTACTGGTGGTAAAGACTATGAAGCCAACAAAGTCATGACTGAGGAGGAAAAAACCACAGCTTTATTGCTGTTGGTTGTAAGTGGACAGAATCCAAATGAGATAATTTCTGTCTGTCTGAATTTCTGTTCAGCTTGAACATCTAACCTGTATTTACAGTTTTAAAATAAATGCTAGTTCTTTGTTTTTCAAAAGTTGTCGGTTTTATTTGGAACATGGATTAAGCTCCATTTTTGTCCTAGGAAAAGATTTTTTAACACAAATGGCTTAGGTGGTACATAATTAAGTTTTTCAGAAAATGTTGTGGTTTGTTGGTTGAAATACAGACTATACTCACTTGCTTTCATTACTGGGGTCTTCATGGCTTGCCTTTGTATTTTTTAACTGAGATTTATGTGCTATGAAGTTAACACTCCCTCTCTTTCGAAATTTAATTGTCAATACCAGGTAGTTGAATTTTTTCTTCACATGCTCCTTTTGCATGGGGTGCTTCAATGCCTTAAAACCCCTTATGATAACCCCCCTGGCTCTGCAGCATCCTGCCCTGCTGCGCTGCTTGGGTCATGTCTGGCTGACTTGGCAGTTAGCAGGAGAAAATGTGTCTTGCTGGTGGTATGATTTTGTGACTTGATAGTATCATTGCTGCTGCCTTTACCTTCTCTGTTCTGTTCCTGTTTTACTTTACACTTCTGTAGTAAAATTCTGGCCTGTAAAGTGTGTTGGCATGTGTGGATAAGGTAGGGGAGTGAAGTAAAAAGTAAGGTTTAGCACATTAAGGACACCTGCTGGTAAGTACAATTTGCAGTAACCCACATCAGAGGCAAATCTCACAAGTAACATGGTCTTGGTAGAGGAGTATACAGGTCCATCTGTGCCTTAATTTACTGCTGTTGAGTTTTCTTTTAGAAAATGTTTTGTCTAATTGTGCTGCATATGTGTAACCAGTGTGTTTATGCTTTTAAGTAGCATATTTCTTATCAGCTGCAAAATATTCTTGCTAAACTTCTGATTTACTGAAAGGATACATTTTTGGTGTAAGCAAGTGAAGGGCCTGGCAATGTGCACTCACGGCAAAGAAATCCAACCATACCCTGGGCTGCATCAAAATCAGCATGGCCAGCAGGTCCAGGGAGGTGACTGTCCCCTTCTACTCTTCCCCTGTGAGACTGCCCCTTGGAGTGCTGCATCCCGCTCTGGGTCTCCAGCATAAGAAGGATGTGGACCTGTTGGGTTGAGTCCAGAGGAGGGATGCAAAAATGATCAGAGGGCTGGAGCACCTCTCCTGTAAAGACAGGCTGAGAGAGTTGGGGTTGCTCAGCAAAAGAGAAGACTCCTGGGAGACCTTATAGAAATTTCCAGCACCTAAAGGGGGGTGATGAGAACTGGAGGTGTAGTTTTTACAAAGGCATGTAGTGATGGGACAATGGCAAATGACCTCATATGATAGAGGAGAGGTTAAGATTAGATATTCAGAAGAAATTCTTCGCTGCGAAGGTGGTGAGGCACTGCAGCAGGTTGCCCAGGAAAGCTGGCAATGTCCCATCCCTGGAACTATTTAAGGCCATGCTAGATGGGGCTTTGAGCAAGCTGATTTACTGGAATATGTCCCAGAAGCGTTGGAACTAGATGATCTTTCCAGGTCCCTTCCAACCCAAGCTATTTTGTGATTCTGTGGCCTCTAATGGCCTTTGTATAGACTTGAAACCCTACAAGCTGATTTACTGGAATATGTCCCAGCCCGTGGCAGGAGCGTTGGAACTAGATGATCTTTCCAGGTCCCTTCCAACCCAAGCTATTTTGTGATTCTGTGGCCTCTAATGGCCTTTGTATAGACTTGAAACTCGTGTAAAGTGTCAGACTTCCTATTTGGTCTTAACTGAATTTTCACTTTCATAGCAGCAGTGCAGTAGATCTGTTTAAAGGCACTGAAGAAATAAGAACAAGAGAGTTTTGAGACTTCAGTAGGATCAAGAAGAGGGAGTTGATTTAACTGCAATACTAGTGTCTTTTTTGTTTTTAGGTTTTTTTCCCCAGCTCTTTGTTTCAGAGATGCAAGTACTCATCAAAAGCTTGTTTTCTGTCTCCCCCTCTGAAAATACATCTGTGTAATCCCTTCACAAAGCCGTTTATTGTCAAACATGTAGATCATATTGCAGAATCTTCATTGTCAGATGAATTTAATTATCCCAATAATACATCTTGTTTTCTTCCTTTTTCTGTGAATTGTGTGCAACACAATGGTAACTTGTTTTAAATAAGTGCTTAAAAGAATAGAAATAGAGAATGCTCACAGCCAGTGAGCTTTAATGGGCTGGCAGATCAGTTCTGTGGTAAGTTTCTTGCTGTTAATCCTGAGGTTGTAAAACATGTTTAGAGTGGTTTAGGGTTACTATTGATTTATCTTATTTTACTGTTGTGATTTTTGCTTGCTTTCTTCTTAAATTTGGAGGGTGCTTTTGGCTTCATTATTTGTTACTAAACTATTCTAGTAAATAGATTTACTAATGAAATATTTCTGTCTCTTCACTCAATAGCTAGAGATGATTGCCATGGAAAATCCTGCAGACTTGAAGAAGCAGTTGTATGTTGAATTTGAAGGAGAGCAAGGGGTAGATGAAGGAGGTGTTTCCAAAGAATTTTTTCAACTGGTTGTGGAAGAAATCTTCAATCCAGATATCGGTATGTGTTCTAATAATTTACTGGTTTAACAGATTTTTCTCACAAAAGGTTGGCCTGGATGATCTTCCAGACTGGATTGTTCTGTGTTTATGCTTTCTGTATCCACTGCTACTTCTGTCTGAAGCTCTCCAGATTCAGTGATGGTCAGGAGAGTATTTGCCAGACATGGAGGCTCACTGTGTTGTCAGCAGTCATCCTCCTGAAGGAGGAATGATGGAAGGAGTAACTGTGCAGTCAATGAGAACCATCATTACTTGTTTGGATACAAATCAGTAGTACAGGGTTTCTTTGCTGGGTTCCTTTGTTTGTTCTCTCACATTTCTCCTCACTTTGCTTTGTAATTAGCTTCTAGAATTAATAATCAGACCAAAGAGGAAGAGCTTCTGCAATAAAGCAAGATTCAGACAATGGGAGTTTTTGAGTTACTTCCTCCACTTCCTTCAGCTTAATAAATCTGATAGTCTCAGTTCTGCAGATCCAAAGTGTCACAGCAGTGTCAAATTTGATTGTAGTTAAAGAAACAAGAGTAATTTGATATATTAGAGCCAAAATTTTACATTTGTGTTTCAACAGTCATTCTTCCATCACATTCTTTTTCCCCTTGCTCCCTGCACCAATCATTTATGCAAGGACATGCTTCTTTTATTGTGCAACTTGTCTGCTACTCTGAAAAGATGAAAATGTTATAAAATGATAAGAATACTTCATGTTAGAATAGAAATGAGACCTGCCAGGTTCCTATACTAATTTTGCATTTTATGTGAAATATGATGTTACATTGTATTTCTTGTAATGGCTTCCATTAAAGAAGCCCAACAGCTCATGGCTGTTAATTTGGTTCCACTGGGCTATTTTAAAAGATAAAGCTGCTGTTCTTGGTTTTGTGGCTTAGAAAATTGATGAAAATACACAAAAATCTATTTTGACTGAATTAGAGAGGAGGTATCAGTATCAAGTACCCAGAATCAGTAGGAAAAATGTGAACATTGGCCTTTGCCCTTCACCATATGCAAGCCAGTTCTTATAAGTGGTACAGAACCATAGACAAGTCTTACTCACCCTGAAAAATACTATTAACTTAGAGAGATTTGGAATCTGAATTAGCTTACTTTGATATATGACAAAGTAAAAAACTCTTAGTACTTCAATTGATTAAATTTTATTTTCAACAAAAAACAAATTCAGCAAAATAAATACATTTTTAACTGGAGTTTATCTAAACAGAAGTTGTGTGGGTGTAATGAAATATCCTTTTTTTAGTAATGCTAAAGTGTGCTTAAGCTAAGATCCAAGCAGGGTGTATATACTTCCTGAATTTAAAGACAGGTAACATATTAGATGTGCATGCATGTTTTACTCCTGTATTAAAACTGTAAAAAAGTATGTACACGTTTTGTATTCATAGTAACTGGGGGGGGAAAAAGCTTTTCAGTGGCTTTTGGCATAAATGTGTAAAAGCAGAAAATGTAGCTCGCATTCAGTGTGAGTGTGTTTGTGTGTGTATATATATATGCATTGCAGTATAGCAGTTCACGTATGCACCAGATGTACCACATGTGACTTGTGTTGATTTGTAAATGCTTTCTTTATCTGAGAAAACAGAGGTGATCCTTTAAGTGGAATTTAAAATGTCTGTTTTCAATAGGTATATTTGGAGAGATGTATATTGTTGTTATAGTTTCTTTGACTTTTTGAGTATTTCAGTATTATACTACCTTAAAGTCTTACTCAAAGGAGGCAATAACTCAGAAAAATACTGGTAAAGATATTCCATGGTAAAGGAATAAGTGATAACTTCATATAACTTCAAGGACAATTGGTTTTGCCTTCTTGCAGATTCCAGTTTCTTCTGGTGTTTCATTATGATTTTAATGTACTGTAGTCTTAATTTTGTGATTGGTATAAATACTGTATTACACCTTAAGGTGTTTCCAGATATAGATCTGAGTAAACTGTTGATGCTTCATTATTAGACATTTGCTGGAGTTGTTGATTTTGACAGTTTAACTTTTCCATCATATTCCAGAAAGTTCAAGTCATTGCTTCACGTACCAGTAATCCAGAAGTTACTTCAGTCAGTTCAGAAAATGGCATACAGGTTTCTAGATAATGTTTGGCCTATATGTGCCCGAGTTGCTAATCCATTTCCAATTTCCAGTTGCCTTATCTGATGGGTTATCTGTGTGTTCCCCTAATGGCTGGCCCAGCCCTAGTCATCTACTGAGATACATAATCCATTCTGGGGAATAGCCAGAGTCTTTGAATGAGCTTGCAGTTTATTGCCATACATGGAATGAGGAAAGAGTTTTTATCTCTTGGCTGAAGATAATATTTTCGGTCTTCAGAGTAATTTTGTGTTCATGTGGTTTTGTAATCAGTTTGTACATCTGCATAGGTGGTAAACAAGAATATCTTAAAAGAGCTGACAAGATAAATCCTTGTGGCAAATGTAGTTGATATTCTTCACATGGATCTGACATGGTGTGTTGAGAGTAAGGAGCCTGGGGCAGTTTTTCTTAGGCTCTGATGGAAAATCATGACAGCTGTAGAAGCAAAAGGTGTTTGGGACTGTACCTGTCCAGGGCGGTCTCTCTCTCACCTTAAGTCTGTAGGGTTTGCATTTATCTTGCTTCAGTATCTAGTCAGGTAACCAATGGATTTCATTGTGGCTTTTATTTATATATAAATAATATTTATATAAATAATTTATAGCCTGTGCACTCCAGTTTCATAAACAAGAGCTATCTCATGTCTTGCTACAGCCAAAAGGGTAGGAAACTCTGCCTGTCTCTTGTCTTCATGTTTCCTCCCTGCAGCTTCTGGTATGTGCCAGTTCAACTGTTTGTTGACATCTTCAGTGCTCATCTCATGAGCTGGGCAGCAAATTGATCTCCTGAAATAGTGAATTGAATGAGAGAAGCAAAACCACTCCCTTTAGACAGGGACAAGCTGTTAAAATTGCAGTCCCTTCTGTGAGATCATGGTCCATTTTCCCCTCAAGTTAAGATATGTTTAATAGCTGCAATAACAGTGGTCTTTGAAACAAGCAAACAAATCTCTTGGGCATCTAACTCTAAAATCATGGGTGATGGTCAATCCCTGCTCCATCATCTTAGCTTCTAATAAAGTAGTAGGGCTGCATCTAGTCCTGTTCCTTTGGTGGAACTGGCCTTTGAGGAAAGGCTGTCACTTCTTAGTAATTAGAGTCCTTTGGGATTGTTACATCCACATGCTTTTGACTGTGTTCTTTTCTTGTACTGCTGTATTTATCAAAGTCACAGTCGCTGTTATCAGTGTGCTGCTGGTTCCTCAGTAGTGGAGGGGATGAAAGCTTGTGTACGTACAGCTCCAGTGAGTGTTGCAGGATATTGTATCACAGGTCTCTTGTGTGCTTTTAGTGGTGATGTGAGTAACAGTGTTTTGAGCAGCTCCAGTTACCCTAAGTAGTTTCTCTTTGCCATTCAATTCAGTATAATGCTAAATTAAATATTGCTTAAAGGCAAGTGCAAATGGGTTTATAATGGTATGTTTCATGTGCCATTCTTGTGGAATTGTAACCATATCTGTTCTTTTTTTTTTAACAGGGATGTTCACATATGATGAGTCTACAAAACTGTTTTGGTTTAATCCGTCCTCATTTGAAACTGAGGGTCAGTTTACCCTGATTGGCATAGTACTGGGCCTGGCTATTTACAACAACTGTATACTGGATGTACATTTTCCCATGGTTGTCTACAGGAAGCTAATGGGCAAAAAAGGAACTTTCCGTGATCTGGCAGACTCTCATCCTGTAAGTTCCTTATGTTCTTCGAGTTAAATAGTGCATTTTTCATGCAGTAATTTAATCTATATTTTAAGTAAACACAAGATCACTGTCAGAAGTGAAAGTGAAATAACCAGTGACTTGCATTATGAGTCTGTATTTGTTAAGATAAATCCATAAGCAAGAAAACTTCTTGCTACATTTGGTTTGGAGGAGGCAAAATTGTAACATCAATGAATAGGACTCAGTGTCAATAAAGCTTTCTATTTTTTTGCTACATAAACTCCAAATGTTACTAAGAATTATTAAGCATGTCTCTTCCCAAAGAGACTAGTTAAATTGGGCTGTTTATAGTATTTGTAGAAGTAAATTTCTACCAAAAAAAAGTGCAAGTAAGAATAAATATGCAAAGGTGTGATGTTCTTACTGGTTTTTGTCTAAAGCAAGAGACAGATGAGGCAGTTTATGAATATCCCTATCCCTAAGGAATATCCTGTCAGAGCAGTGATCAGTGTCCATCTTTGCACACCCATTCCCAGCCGTGGCTGTACACAAGCACTGAGCTGTACATGTGCTTTGTTAGATGGAGCACACAAGTGTCTGTGCAGGATGTCTTGGCCCTGCTCCACCTGCAATCAGAGATCACCAGTGGTTTCCCCACATGTTGCTCTTAGGAGTTGTTAGCAAGCTTCATTTTGTTTCAAACAATGGGACACTTCCCTTCTATAAGCAGTTGTACAAAATCTTCATCTTTTCAAAAAAGATTAGTAAAATGATACTGTCTAAAAAGAATTTGGCTTTCGTGTTTGAAAATGAGGCATGTTTAATCAAAAAACACATTATCCTGGTCTGTTTTGGATGGCTACATACAACAGCATGCCAGATTTGAGCGGTTTCTGTGTATAATGTTGAGAAATAGTGCCCTGAGTTTCCTCTAACTTTTATTGCATACTCAAAACTTTTTGTGACAAAAAAAAGTGAATGTATTTCTATGGAACAAGAAGGCAGCCAGGGCATTTCCTAATTTTTCTCCCGTGTTCTTACATTTCTCCTCTTACACGTAAACTGATTTCTTTTAAAATATTCTTTTTTAACCCTGTGTATTGTCATATGATTTAAACACTTCAGAGCTTCTCAAACCTAAAATGAAATTCACAGTAGTCAGGCCTCTCAGTGCTTTTTCTAATGCTGTAGAGCATGGAGAATAGGATGTTTACAAGCCCTCACCACCAATGGTTCCAAGTCCACTGATTTTTCAGTGCAAGGTCCTATGGAAGAATCAAAAACACAGAGATAGTGAGAGGCTGAGGCTTATGTGTTAACTTTCATGTTTGAGCTTAAACATTGGGGGGCAAAATTTATTTTTTCTACTTCACTATAAAAATACAATTGCACACAGTTATCACTTCCACCTTTGCTTTGTATTCTTTAGCCCCTGTGCCTCTATTGCAGCCCCATAATTGTCCCCTTGCTGCATAGGCTTTGGTTTCCAAGAGAGTCTTGGGCTTTTCCTAAGGCATAGCAGGGAGGAAAGCTGGTTGCTCCTTTGAAAATAATTGTCCCTTTGCTGCATAGGCTTTGGTTTCCTTGGGCTTTTCCTAAGGCATAGCAGGGAGGAAAGCTGGTTGCTCCTTTGAATAGAGCAAACTCTTACAGGTAATTTCAGATTCCATTTTGTAAATTCTGATCAAACTTGTGATTTTTTATTTTTGGTTCATAAATGTCTTCTTATGTTAAAAACTGCCCCATCTGTGTTGCTTCAGGATTACTTCCTAGTTGGTTTCAGTTTTAAATAAGAAGATAAAAGTCTACTGTCTGAATTTTATCTGACATAAAATAATGGGTTTCTTTGATTTTTAACTCATAAATGTTCCCCTTACTCTAGAAGATAAAAGCCTACTCTCTGAATTTTATCTGACATGAAATAACAGGTGTTTCTTTGATTTTTAACTCATAAATGTTCCCCTTACTCATGTAACATATTCTGGATGCCTAAAATAAAGACAAATTCAAAAAACTTAAGAAGATGTTGTTAAAGGCTCTTAAACTGCAGGTTTGACCATTGCATTTTGGAAGATTGGTAGGTACTAAAAGGTAAAGACAGATTCAAAAAACTTAAGATGTTATTAAAGGCTCTGAAACTGCAGGTTTGACCATTGCATTTTGGAAGATTGGTAGGTACTAAAAGGCTCTTTTAAGGGAGTTATCACTGATTGTCATGTTTCTTTTTTACCTTAATATCTTCTCTAATAATCTTCTCTCTATCTTCGCTAATGTTTCTCTTTACAGAGCTTAATAAATAATTGTTTGGGCTGCTATGGGAGATTTTTAGGTGACTTGTGTCATAGAATATAACAACCCTTTTTTGAGGCAGGTGGTTTCATGTCTCCTTGTATTACTCAGTGGAATCTATCAAAGCTTATTTTTGACAGACATATATTTCTTACTCTCTTAGGTTTTGTATCAGAGTTTGAGAGACTTACTGGAGTATGAAGGAAGTGTGGAAGATGATATGATGATTACGTTTCAAATATCTCACACGGATCTCTTTGGCAATCCAATGATGCATGATTTAAAGGAAAATGGTGATAAAATTCCTATCACGAATGAAAACAGAAAGGTACACTCAGCTTTTCAATAAGAATCTGGAGTTCCTTGATATACTGTATGTAGAATTATGTAGAACCCTGCAAAGGTTTGGTCTCACTTATAATTTTTAAGTTTAAAAGGCTTTTAAAATTGCCATAGCACAGTATGGTTGTGAACTGAAAAGGCTTCTGTTAAAGAAAGCATTGATACATGGATACATAGTCTCTGGGTAGGATGTTAGACCTGTTTGAGCCATATTTGAAACTTGTTATTTTGTGTTGCTGAATAAAAAGTGCTATTTGCATAGAATTACAGAATTATATGTATTTTGGGGTCTTGTATTTTTTGGAAGTACTTCAAGTGGCATGTGTTGAAACACTAAGGTTTTTTGGGGTTTGTTTCCTTGCAGGAATTTGTCAATCTGTATGCTGACTATATACTCAATAAATCAGTAGAAAAGCAGTTCAAGGCCTTTCGGAGAGGATTCCACATGGTGACCAATGAATCTCCTTTGAAATATTTATTTAGACCAGAGGAAATTGAATTACTTATTTGTGGAAGTAGGGTAAGAATTTTGAATATAAACTAGAGAGTGGAGCTTTTTTTGTTACTGAGTATATAATTAGTGGTCATCTTTAAAAATATCATCTTCTTACAGAATTTAGATTTTCAAGCACTAGAAGAAACTACAGAATATGATGGTGGCTATACAAGAGACTCTCTTATAATTAGGTAATTTTTTCTAATTTTATAAAGATAAAAAGCACTTCATCTGCTTGTTTCTTCATAATGATTTTAATATTGTAAGATTTAGCATTTTTGTAGTACTGGAGATGCAAATGTCTTATGTGTAATTTCACTTTTCTCAAGTATTGTCATTACAGAAGAGGAGATGGTATAAGCATTGTTCAATCAGTATAATTCCTTAGGAAACAGGAATAATAAAATAGCAGGACACAGCCAAATTAATGTTTAAAGACAGTTAAACTGCAGTGTTTAGTAATATTTCTGATTTCTATTTCTGAACCTCATTTCTTGGTAAATACATTCTGAGAGTTTTGGTTTATGAATGCATCAAATGTAAACTGTTAAGACAGATTAGAATTCTCATACCATCAAAGCTCAATTACTTTTGAAATTCTTATTTATACCAAAGAAAGTTTACAGTTTATTTACTTTTTTAATTTCTTCTTTGATAGGGAATTCTGGGAAATAGTCCATTCATTTACAGATGAACAGAAAAGACTATTCTTACAGTTTACAACAGGCACAGACAGAGCCCCTGTGGGAGGACTTGGAAAGTTAAAGATGATCATAGCCAAAAATGGCCCAGATACAGAGAGGTAAAAAAAAATAAATTCTACGTTTTGCTTGGTTTTTTATAAATGGAAGTGAATTATGTGTTTTTAAATTATTAACCTAGTTAAATCTGGAAGTTGAATGTATAAGAAGAGTTTATTTTCTTCCAATTCATTCTTTTTGGACTTGTAAAATAGAGGTGTATTTCTTTTGCATGTTCCAAGATCTGAATTCTTGTATTTTTTGTCCCACAGGTTACCTACATCTCACACATGCTTTAATGTACTTTTGCTTCCGGAGTACTCAAGCAAAGAAAAGCTTAAAGAAAGATTACTGAAGGCCATCACATATGCCAAAGGATTTGGCATGCTGTAATAAGTATAACAAAAGGGATTTAAAAATGATGGTGATGATGTCCCTGTCCAAAAAGGCCATAAGATAGTGAGCTACAGTAGTCACCTGTGTTTGTGCCTCCCTTCTTTACTGGGGACATTGGGCTGGAACAGCAGATTTCAGCTGCTTATATGAACAAAATCTTTATTTTTTCTTTTAGCGTGAAAGTGTTACATATTCTTTCACTTGTATGTACAGAGAGGTTTTCCTGAATATTTATTTTAAGGGTTAAATCACTTTTGCTTGTGTTTATTACTGCTTGAAGTTGAGCCTTTTTGAGTATTTACAAGAAAACAAACTGTACTCTCCCAAGGAAAATATTGCCATCATTTGTAGACCATGTAACCTTCAAGTATGTGCTATATTTTTGTCCCTGTATCTAATCAAATCAAGAACTGTACTTTTTGAAGAGTTTGCTTTTGAAACTTGAAGTCTTGAAAAACAGTGTGATGCAATTACTGCTGTTCTAGCCCCCAAAGAGTTTCTGTGCAAAATCTTAAGAATCAATAAAGATGGAAGGGAGAACTTGGAATGTTAAATTGCAGCCTTGAGAACTTTACTTTAGTCACAGCACAACAATTAAAATTCATTTCACTATATGTTGTCTTCACATGTCTTGTAATAAACTGTGTTTTTAATTAGGAAACATTTCTTAGCATATGAAAGGGTAGAAATTTTAGTTACTTTTTTAAAAAAGAAGTTTACTGGGGAAAGTGCATTTTCAACTGAACAGCTTTAGAGTAGGGAGTGAAGTGTCTGGAAAAATATAGGAAGTTTTTGCTATAATATAAACAAAGCATGTGGAAGTGCACTTAAATGAAGTTCTATTCTTAATTGCCTATTATGTTGACATTTAAAATAGACAATCCAAAGTCTTCCCTACATGTTATGTCATCATCATTTATTTAATGAATCATTTTTCCTATCTTATCAAGGCACATGATCAGTGTTGCACCATAGTCTAAAGGGATGGCTACTGTATTTTAATCTCATCTAACAATAAGCAAAATTGAACAATATTAAACGTGAGGTCTACTTCATGTTGTACACTTCCAACCATTAAATAAACTGTTAGAAAGTAAGTACTAAGGTTATGTTCATCTACTACATAAAGTATTCAGTAGGTTTTTAATTTAACTCTACAAATCATATCAGAAATAAATCCTTTACCTTTCTTAGTCTGTGTTTAATGTTAATTTCTCCTGTTGCAATATATGATGAAGGGATTCTGCATTTGTAAGTGCAGATGGAACTGGCATATCTCTTTTCCAATACAAGCTGCAGCGGGTGTGCAGAGCTGAGCTTGTGCCTTGACAATTGCTATAACTGGCTACTACCGATCAAACCCGTGACTGTGTGGAATTGGCATTAAAAGGCTTAGTTTTGAAATCATTGGAAAAAGAAAAGATGTCTTTCAGGACTATTTTAATAAATTCTTTCTAGTAATAGAAACAGACAACTGTTATGTAACTATGATGCTGAATAAAACAATGACCTTTTTTCACCATGGTTCAGTGAAAAAGAAAACAAGTTACTTTCTTACTTTGATAAATTAGATATTAAATGGTTTGATTAGACATCGTTGTAGTACTGAATAATTTGAGGGTTGCAGGTACGGACAGCTCTCTACAAGTGAACTGTTGTGATGTTCCCTTCTCAAATTCAAGCCAGTGCCAGATGGCCTGGACACACAGGACTGAAACTTACTGGGGAGGGAGAGGTGCTGTCTGTCTTCTGGCCTTTAATCTCAGAGGCCCTTAGGTCCTGCCCTCTTGTATGTCCACCTTGTTGTATGTCCCAGAGGAAGAAAACACGATACCCTACCTCTCAGTGTAGAGTGGTTGACAACAGTGCCTGCTGAGCCCTTCAAGTTTGGAGCAGCTCTTCCTGTAGGTGGTAACAACATTTACCGAGTGCCTTAAGGTTATTCACTGCAAGCACGAACAGATCATGATACTGCTGTATGGTATGTACTGTGTTCACAGTCTAATGTGTTAAGTTCTATCCCTGTAACTCTTCTTACTCTAATTTAGCTGTAGTTTGTGGTTGCACCCAGCTGACAGGTGTATGTGATTCATGTTGGGTTTTTTTATATAGGTCTAAAAGCTGTGCAGACAGCATAACTGGATAGCAATACAAAGTTCTCTTAACTGTTGACATTGTAAATATGCTCTTTCTGTTTCCCTTTAGCATTAAGATTAAAATAGTACATAATTGCATTGGCCTTCAAAAGCATTACTTGTTTTTCAAGGAATCATTTTCAGGTAAGACATAAGTACTTAATATTTGACTAATTTCTCATGTAAATATATACTGCCTCCCCCTGAATACCACTGTATTGAAACCTTATCTCCTTAGGACTGGTATAAGTGCACTAGTTGTTCCAGTTGATGAGGTTTAATATAAATAAATCTTGAAGTCTTATAGCTGCAGGCTGCATTCCTGTCCTACAGAAGTTTCAGCCAGTGTTCTGTTTGAAGGGGAAAATGTCATTTTAAGTTTGGTTTGGTTTGGGGTTTTTTCCTGGACTCCTGGCACACCTGGAATGTCTTTCACAGTGTCTAGCATAGTTTAGGTCTATAAAACTTGGAGTGTTTAAGTGTTCTTATATGTCATGGAAATACCTCTCTTCAGTGAGACAGAAGATTCCTCTTCCAAGGCAGTAGTCTGATGACAGTGTGGTGGTGTTCTCTCCACAGGGTGTCTTCAATATGTTGACAGGAAAATATTTCGGACATCTCGGCACTGCCTCATTTGACAAATGAAAAATACCTCTTCAAGTATCTCCTTCTGCACCCTAACAGAGACTGCCTGAGTGTTTCCAACCTCTGTGCAAAGGGGCCATGAGGCCCAGATGTGTATTCTACCATCACATGCTTCAAAAATGATAGTAGTGCAAGAGAAGTAATGCCCTGGAAAGAATCATCTTCATGTGGCACTGTTTCAGATTTAATTAGGAGTGAAGAAATGGTTTTGTTTAGCTCTGGAGGTAGGTTAGCACATAATGCTGCATAAACAGGAACAGCTGTCAGCAGTGAGCAGAGTTCAGGTAACTGGAGTAGTGTTTTGTGAACTTCTCACTGGGCTTGTCTTCCATTTGGCGGGCAGCAGCCTGAGACAAGATGGTAGCAGCCAAGGGGACCCCCTCCAACCCTGCATTCTGAGGAAAGCTGATGCTGAAATGGGCCCAGGGCTCCAAGGAACTCCATGTTACAGTAGTCAGTCCATGCCTGTCATCCAACAGTGGCTTCACTGCTGAAGCAGGAGCTTCCTGTCCCATGTGACACCACACAGGTGTGAAGGACCTAGTGGGCTTAGGCTCCAGGGAGATGCAGTGTGAGCTGCCCAGGTGCCTGCTTGGGTTTCTGCTCTGTGAAGCAGGGAATTGGACACAGGTTTCCCTGCTGCTGGATGTTTCCAGGACACAGGTTTCTATGCTGCTGATGTTCTGGAAGAGGACAATCCCTAAATCATCAGCTTTAAGGTGTTTCCGTCACAGTTATAGCCAGTTACCTCCAGGTAAATTTTTATTCCCACTTGAGGATTAAGAATTTCCTAGTTGCCTCAAGAGGTTTTATGATGAATACGAATTGGGTGGAATGTTTGAGCTATGCTTCATTTATTATGCAGAAAAATGCCATCATTTCAGCCTGCAAGATGGAGCAGGAATTTCTTCCAAGTTAAGCTATTCAAAATCAAGTCTTTCATAAGAGCTGAGTTTATTATGCTTAGTCTGAGTCACAAGGGTTTGCGATAAGTTACTTACAGTTCTTGTTCATAGTTGCAAGTTTACTTAAATTGTCATAAAATTCGCAAGACCATTCGGGACTTAATAAAATTCATTTTTAAAAATTCAGATTTATACTGAATCATGGAACAGATGCTGCTTTGAAAATAAGAGTTGATACTGACATTAGTCTTTAGGTCATTTTTTACCCAGCTGAATTAATTTGGAAAACCCATGAAATGTCAGTATTTTTCTGTAGTGCTCCATCTAAAGATGTCTTCAGGTGTTGGTTTTTATTGTTCTTCTTCATTAACCCAGTTAAAAAGTGTGTGGGAAGGTGGTTTTAATTGCAGATATACAAGTATAGTTTTGTTCTGTTCTGCTGTATTTGTAGGATACATCAGGAGAGTGATTCTGATAAATAGCTGAAGTGTGCATGTGTTCATAGATGTCTTGCTCAATATAGATCCTGTGTTGGGATTTCTGTGTGGAGAAGTGTCTAAGAGACAAAGGCATTGGGGATGCAAGTGGAGGGTGGAAATCATTATTCTGTTTTAGAACAATAAGGTTGCATTAGGAATTCCTACATTATTTTGCTGGTTAGGTTTTTGCATAGTTTTGAGACTTAAAAATAGAGACCAGAGCTGACTGTGAAAGTCAGCCAATTGCTGGAGTTAGACTTGTGCCCTTTGAAGGACAGGCAGCACAGCTCAACTGCAAACAACTGCACATGCAGGGATCCTGCTGCTCCTGCAGCCTTGGCTCACAGCTTGGACTGACCAATGTCCAGTGAAGATAAAAACTGCAGAGATTTGTGGTTCAACTGCTACATGCAAGGCTAACATGAAGCCTTTCTTAATATCACCAAAGGCTCTGGTGTATCTGCTGTGCCACTGGGATCGTGTACAGAGAAAATCCTTTAAAACTCCCACTGCAACCTTCTGCTTCCAGACCTGTATAGGACAGAGAGGGAGTAACAGTGCTCAGGAGCACGTGGCCATGAAATGGCAACTGGTTGAACTTCCTTGTCCCAGGCTGAGCTGCCATACATCATGTGTCGCTGCCTTTGATTTAATGTTTCCCTTTGCAAGCACTCTGTGTTTGAGCAGCAAGGGATAAAGATCAGGTAAGCCAATATGTTACTATTGAAGGGGTTTTGTTTCCTAATATAATTGATTTTAATTAAAAATTGGAAACTTGGCAGGAGAATGTTTTCTAGATGAAAGGATGTTTTCAAAAGAAAAATCTCCCTTGTGCCATGCACAGATTTTTAATTTTTGTCATCTATGCATGAAGAATACTATGAATTTTGTAGCAAGTCGCCTGAAATAAAACAAATGACATTTTGGTTTCTCCAGTATGGGTACTTTCCTTTAAAAGCACAACACAGACCTCTTTGTGAGCATCTGATAAGGGTTGCTCTTGCACTGTTTTTTTGGGTTTTTTTTTACACCTTGAATCTCTCTGGAGAGTGTCTCATTCCCAAACTAAAATGCCCGAGAGTATGTCCTTTCTAGCAAAATTCTTGTCTGGCTCATTTGGTGTAGGGGCTGGAGCCCAGCCTCTGCTTTCTGCCTGAGCTGTAGTAGCCAGCAGCCAGCCTGGCTGAGAGCATTGCTCCTGTGCCAGGAGTTGTTCCAGACAACATCCTCAGGCCTTTCAGAAGCAATCCTGCTCCAGACCTGCAGCAGTTTGGACAAGAAGTTTTGTCATCCCAAACAGTTTGCGTGCTAGCTTTGATTTTGGAGGAGAGGATGTCTCACTGTTTAAGCCTTAGGAAAGGTTTCCTGGGTTTGGGACTCTCTTTCTTGGGACTCTCTTTCTTTCTAAATATGCTAATCTAGTCTTCTTTTCAGTTAGTGCAGGGAGAGAGAAGTATACAAAATAATTAGACTTTTCCCTTCCCCTTAGCTCATCCTGCACACTCCTACACGAACATTTTACAAATACCTTAGTTTATAGATTTATTTGCACTTAAATCTGTCCTTTTATATCATACATTTGGAATGAAAAATCTCTACTGAAAACCAAACCCAAGGTGAACTATTTAGAAAATACCTAGGAGTTTCTTGACATCATACTGAGTTCAGTGGAAGAGCTGGTGGAGAAGCTTTCTTTCGTTTTTGCATTCACCTTTAGAGAATCCCTAATGAGTTAAAGATTTGGATATTGAACATCAAAACATCAACTTTAAATCATTTTCTCTAGGAATCTTGGATCCTGAGCATGATGGCAGCCTCTGGGGTCTCCTACTGGCTGATGGCAGCATCAGTTGGTCTCAGCACCTCACGAGTTTGAGCTGAAATTTTCCCTTTGCCCTGCCCAAGTGAGTGAAGCTGTGTAGGACTGAACCCTATATGGAGCAGGCAGCTCTGCTATGCTGCACAACAGGTTTGCCCTCAGCACTGGCAGTGGCTGAGGAGGGGGAACGTGCCCTTCTGGAGTCATTCCAGTTGCCCATTTGTCTGGCTGGGGCCCCTTCTGGCCACCAAAGTATAAGTCACTTTAGAAAACTTTAGGGACTCCCCTGTCTGCTTTCTCTCTCTGGCTCCAGATCACAGCATCCCTTCTGTACCAGCTTCCCTTCCCTGGTGGCAGGAAGCTGAGCAGCTTGGGGTGTCTCCCTTGCCCAGCACATTTGTCACCCCAGCTCCAGGGTGGCTGCAGTTTTGAACTGCCACCAGCTGCCTGGAGGTGCTGCATGGCTCTTTTCTTGCTCCTTTTCTTCCTCACCACACTTACCCTTCTTGGGCTGCCAGTGCTCACAGCTGGTGCAGTCAGATTATGGCAATGAAACTGACAGCCTTGAAGCCCTGAATTGAAAGTGTTTCTGCTTGGGACAGCTCTTTTGTCAATCTGCCTTGAGCCGTGAGCCTTCCCTGTGCTGTCAGTGCTCAGGCTGAACCATGCACCAAGAAGCCTGGCTGTGGCTGACAGGCTAAATGAGCTGTGGAGGCAACCAATATGTTTGGAAAGGCATGAGGTGCTTTTTTAGAAAAGCTCTGCAGCTTTGTGCTGCTAGACATAAGCTTTTTTCCTAACCTTGATGCAAGTGTGGTCAGAGATGCTAAGACACTAGCTTTTATTGCTAAGAGATGAGGCATTGGGTTTTCAGTAGTCAGAACTTAAAATTCCCACCTCTGGATCATTGCCTTCACTGATAGTACCCAAAGCTGCTGCTGTAAGAGAGGGTTTCCTGTGCCAAGCATTGGACCTGTGAACAAGCAGCCTGAGGACTTGCTTAAAACAGCCTAAATCTACAAGTAATCTGAAAACAGTGGGAATCCCACTGCAGGAAACTGGGTCAATTATCTGCACTATTCTGCAAGTAAAACATTTGTACTTTGATGAGGAACTGGCAATTGGTTCTCCTAAAAAGAGTAAATCTTTACAGCACAGTTGGTTTGATTCATCAGACCTGGCAGCAGACTACACAAAAAAAATGGTCTTGTGCTTCTCTGTGTCCTTCTCTGGAAAGGCAAGTAGTGCCCCTGGGTTCTTGCCATGCTACTCACCTGAAGGGGCTGCTGGGGTGTGACTGCTTTGTGTTAGTTCCCCTTCCAGGGCAATGAGGGAATGTTACTGTTGGCTATAAGAATAGAACAGTGTGGGATTTTTTTCTTGTCAGAAAGCTAAAGAAATTACATATTAAAACAAAAAAAAGCTAGGAAATTAATAGCTATTCAGCAAGTTGCCCATCACTCTAGAATACAGCCATGCTTTCCCTGTGATGAAAGTTTGTGTTCTTCAGTTGCCCTCTTACAGAAAGGCTGGTACCAGGCACCACAAATGCTAAGGAAAGAAAAATGGAATAGCATCCATTAGTAAATTCCTTCCATGTTTCTGCACTTCTGGTTTTAGTACTCTACCCCTGATTTACCTGTACAAATAAGAGAGGTCTCTGTTTGAGCTGGCCATTGTCCTCAGCCTCTTGGGAAGACAGCCCATGGAAGCTGAGCCATTGGCACTGCAGCCTGCACTCTCCTTGCACCTCACTCTCCCAGGTGATCTTCCAGCTTCTGATGAAGGAGATCTGTGAGAACTGCTGCTGCTTCTGGAGTAAAGCTAATGCTTGTGTTCATCCCTAAAAAACTGCTTAAAGAGTGCAAGCCTTTCCTCCTCCCTTTGCTCCTAGGGCGTGGAAGGGGGAGGATTGCCAATGCACAACAGCAGAACTGTATTTGCCGCAGTGAAGCTGCAAGAACAGCTGGCAGCAGCAAGCCTCAGCCCTTGTGAGCTGGCAACTATTGCAAAATCTGAATTTCAGAAACAAAAGGCCTGACCAACTTCAGCCCTAGAACTTATTCCTCAGAGCTTGTGTGGTTTTCCTCTCTCCGGCACCCTTCTCATGCTCTGGGCTCTGAATGGGATTGGGGAGGAGAGGGGAGTCCCAGATTGATGGCTTCCCTCAGGAAAGCTGCCACAACTGAAATCTTGTGCTTTAACTGTCTGTAGAGTTGCCAGATCCAATTAGTGGATAATTTGTTTTGCTCTCAGGGATACATGAGATGTTTTTGCAAATGCTGAATTATGCAGACAAGGGTTTGATGCATTCTGTTTGCTCCAGGTTGGAAACATTAATAGAAGAGCTGGGGGACCTTGAAGCCAAGTGCAAATGCTGTCATCTTGCAAATCTTGAGGGTGAAGAGTAGCTCTCCTTTAGTCCGCCTGTGTCACCTCACTGGACAGCCTGGCCTAGGCTTGGCCCGTGAATGTCTCATCCTTGGTGCTAGCAGTGATACAGACACAAGTGTGTCTTCCAAAGCCACCAACACATGGACCTGCTCAGAGAAAGCACTAATGCTTTTGTGGGGGCAAGGACAATGAGCAGTTTGGTTTCTAATATAAAGTAGAGGTCTCATATTGTACATCAATAAATATTTGGCAGGAATGAAACTCTAAAGCCGATGCCTTGGAGTAAAGAGTTTTAAAAACACAACTGTACTTTCCCTGGGCTGTTCTGAAGAAAAAGCTGCACTGTAAAGAAAACCCCAACTCTTGGCTGTACAAATGCATGAGCTGTTCTGCTGTTACTGCTGCTTCTGAAGTCCAGTTCATTGAATTTGCCAGGGCAGTTTTCTGCTGTAAAAACTGTAAAGTAAAATAATAGGGGATGAGGGTAAAAGTATGGGGAGAGCACTGAGAGAACTTCAGAGAGGAGCAAGGCTGAAATTGTTTGCTGTCAGGGTAGAGGGTCCACAGCTTGAGGCCCTTTCCCTGGAAAAGCTCACTCCAAGCAGTAGCTGGAGCATGGTGTGTCACTTCACCACCTCTCCTCTCCTTTTGCACGTGGAGCAGATGTTCAGACCTCTCAGACTTTGCCCATCTGGTGTCTCACTCAGCACAGGCAGTTTGGAGAAGCAGTGCCAGCCCATGGCTACCTGCTTAGGCCCACGTGAAGTGAATGCTGTGGCCATTAAAATCTATTTCTAGATTCAGGGCCTATGTTCAAATGCTCTGTAAGCACTGCCCTGTGCCTTCCTTTCTCTTGTAGCAGGGATGAAGAACCAGCCCAGTCTGTGTCAGGCAATTTTTGGTAGGTGATCTGTGTGCAAGTAGTAGAAAGCTGCACTTATTTCTGCCAGACAAGCCACTGTCCCTGCTGTGCCACCCTGCCTGGAGCTGGGAAGGGGAGACAGGTGGCAGCAGCCTGGCAGGCTCTGCCCCATAGGACCTGGAACCCCTTGGGCAGTGGCATAATGGTCAGGCTCCTGTGTGCTATCTGCAAATGCAGGGATGATGTCAAAACGGCCCAGGACCAAAGCTGTGTGCCAGCTGCCCTGTAGTGAGGGGAGACCACCATTTCCACATAGTTTTCTGTCACTTCAGAACTCTGTTCCAGCTAACAATTTTTTGGGCCATGTAATGGTGATGTGATCAAAGTCTGTCTGAAACACTAAAATCTAAAGGGATATGGGTAAGAGAAAACACAGAGTTGCTTGAACATTACTCAAAATATTTTAATGTACATGCTGTAGCCACATTAAAGAAGAGGAAAAAACATCTTACAGAGATGAAAGACGCCAAAGGATGTGATTTCATCATGCCAGAAGCTGTATGTTTCAAAGTGACTGAAGCCAATAGCATCAAAATGCTCTTTTTCTGGTGTATGAAAACCAGATCAAGAGGCACGGAAAGGGAAGAGCAAATATGTATTTAACTGATAGATTAGGCTGTTCTGATCCATCAGGTAAAGATGCAGTCCTGTGGTTTTTAGGGTTTTTAAACAGATATAATTTGGTATAAAGAGTACTTTAAACAGTTTTACTCATATATACCTTGTGGGCTGGAACAGCTGTGCTATGTTGGGTAGATAGTTAGGTATTTACAGAGAATGATGTCTGATGGAGAACATGTCAATATGCAAGAAACCCCTACCAGGTACAGTGGGTTTGAGTCACACACCAGTGAGTGTCAGCCAAGGTGAGTGTGGTACCTGGCTCTGTCACGATGTGGAAGGTGGAATTTGCAAGCTGAGCAGCCTGTGGCACAGTCTGTGCTCACAGGGGTACCCTGCAGTGAGCCCAGCTCCACCTCAGCCCTGCCTGCCTCTGGGTGGGAATAAGGGCACTACACTCCTGCCAAACCAGCCTCTCAGAGCTCCCCCATTTCTCTCAAGCCCTTAAAGAAAATAAGAACAAGATTCAGCTGATGTAACAATACTTCTGAGTACCACTGGCCAGAAACAGATCTCAACTACTTTCCAAACCACTTATTACAATCAGTGGATGTTTTGATAATAGAGGTTAAGCCCACTCTAGGGAAGATCTGTAAGTACAGTTGGCTTCTAGGCTAACACTAACAGGAGTTTAGACAAGGGCCGTGTGTGGACATTATTATCCAGTTGTCCCTTTGCCAGTGTTGCTGGCAAAGCTCCATTCCTTAATCACTGACAGATTTTTCTCCCTCACCAGGCTCAGAAGTGTCAATAGAAGGGAACAGCTGCTTGTCTGGAGATGAGGACTTAGCAGTTGTACTCAGTTTAGCAAAACTGTCTCTTTTCATTCCACTCCCACCCAGTTAAACCACCCTCTTCTCAAGTGGACTCCTCACCAATTTTCCAACAGGCCATTGATCCCAGATGCTGCCATAACTCAGGCCTGAGGACAAGTGAAGTCAGAGCACTGCCCATAGTAATACCTAATGCCACTGAAAGATCTAATGCCATACATGCTGAACAGCCTCTGCTACTCCATACTTTTCAAAAGCCAATGAGATACAGAAGGATGTAACATAGGGAAAGTTGCATGACAGCAAAATACTGTACAGCAAAAAAAAAATGAAAACTAGTATCTTCTAAATTCTCCCTAACTAATAGAAACAAAGTAGTGTGACAACTACTTTGGAGAAAAGATGGCAGTAAACAGCAAAGGGAGATGGAGTAGACCTCCTTAGAAGAAATAAAAATGAAGAAAACATAGGCCTAAGTGACTGGAATGACTTTGCAACACAGGGCTTGTTCTCCCTGCTTTGCAGAGACCCTGTTGTGGGAGCAAGCTGCCTGGCAGGCAGTGACAGCCTGCCCTGCCAGCCCATGGGATTTCTCAGTAGCCTCCCTCAGGACTGCCCACTTGCCAGGGAGTTCACTCAGCACCCTACATATGGGAGCTGCACACACCAGAGCCCTCTTTTCTCTTCCCAGGTTCAGTGAAGCCATATTACTCTTCCACCAGTGAGCTTTAGGGGACTCCTTTCCAAGTGAGGATTTTACCAGTGCGGATGGAACTGGGCTAAAAAGAACCAGAAGGGATTTTCCCTTCTCTCCCCTGCTGAAGCAGCTGCAGAGCAGCAAAGGCTGTCACAGACCCTGCCAGAAGGGACATGAATGAGCACTGCTACTCTGTCAGCATGGTCCTTTGTGCAGAGCCCAGCTCATCAGAGAGAATCAGACTAAAGCAACTGAACACATGGCTGTTCCAGACACGTGCAGGGTGCACTGCAGTGGCCAGGTACCTGACACTGCTTAGCTGTTGTCCAACTGTTTGCACAGACTGTGAAAGAATAAAAAATTTTGAGAAACTCAGACATGCATCCGTGCATTTAATCAGCTACTAAAGTAGCAAGTTAGAGCAGGGTACCCTATAAACAATTTTTAAGCTCTTAAAAAGGAAAAATTTAATCTCTTCTACTTCAAGTACAATGCCTTCTTAACACACGATGCGCAGGAAGATACAGTGTGTCAAGACCTACAGGTACCAAACACAGACATTCTGAGCATGACTTGTAAGAAGCCCACTCTCAGTACAAAAAAGTACCAAATGCTGGACCAAATCGCTCCCCAAGAAGAAGGTGACAGTGTTCTATTTACAAGAAAATACTGCTTCAGTTAAAAATGCTAAAAACCATTCTCTTGAGTTCATATAAAAATAATTATGTCTATGTATGCACACACATATTTACACACATTTATGGCTTTCAGTGCTTCAACTTTCTCCAGTAAATGAGGAAAGATAAATACTCCATTACTACTTTTTCTCCTCAGGTTTTTCAGCCTCTGCTTCTGCAACTGATAAACTGCCACTACCGTATTTTTTCACTCGGGTTTCTACTCTGGCAAGTCTCTGTTTCACCTTTTGTTGAGATGCAGTGTATTCTGCCATGAGCCTTGCAAACCTAGTCTGCAGCGTATCCAGAGCTACTTCAAGTCGTCCTATTTTTTCTTCCAAGTCTTTTGGGTCAGCTCCCGCTTTTGCTGCCTCCTCATCTATTAAATTGTCTTTCATCAGAATTTGACGTCCTTTCTCTTCCAGAGCCTTTTTGGCTTCTGGATATTCTGTGAGGGCTTCCATTAAATCATCCTTAGACAAGCAGAACAAATCAGAATAACCAATACTCCTAATGTTGGCTGTCCTCCTGTTGCCAGATTTGCTACCTTTGATGTTTAGGATGCTAATTTCACCAAAGTAGCTGCCATCGCTTAGGACTACAAATTGGGTTATGCCATCATCTGCCACCACAGCCAATTTTCCCTCTTTAATAATGTACATTTCTCTTCCAATATCTCCTTTTTTGCAAATGTAGTCACCAGGACTGAAGACCGTAGGTTTCAGCTTCAGCACCAGCTCAATGAGAAGTCCAGCTTCGCAATCCTGGAATATACGCACTTTCCTCAGCGTGTCCAAATGGACATTGATGGCAATTTCAGCCTTCAACTTGTCAGGCAGATTTTTGAGAACTTCCTTCTCATCTACTGTTTTCTTGTTGGTCCAGAGGTAATCAAACCACTTAATAACCCTGGCTTCCAAGTCCTTAGTCACCTTTCGGAATTGCATGTACTGTTTAATGGAATCCACTTTGGCCTGGAACTCTGCCCTGGAAGCATTCATGTTGGAAATCATGGAGCCGACGTTACCGACAATGGTGGCGAAGATGAGCACGCCCACCAGGAAGTCGATGACCACGAAGAGATACTCCTCGTCCTTCACCGGGGGCGGCGTCTCTCCGATGGTCGTCAGCGTGAGCGTGGACCAGTACAGACTGTAAATGTACTTCCTGGACAGGCGCGCGTACTCCGGAACGGACACGTTGGGATACACCCAGGTGTCGGTTCCAAACCCGATCACCTTCGATATCGCAAAGTATATGCACGCGTTCCAGTGGATGATGATGAGAATGTATAACACCAGATTGCCAATACGGAACATGTTTGGATAATTTGTCCTGGTCTCAGTACGGTCAAAGAACTCAAAGAGCCGAGCAATCCTCAGCAGGCGGTTAAATCGGAGCTCGGGGTAGTTCAAACCAAGCTTGAAATATGCCAGGTCTGTTGGCACAAGAGACAGCACGTCCAGTTTGAACTGCACAGTTTTGGTATAATGTTCTCGTAATTTCTTCTCATCCTGAACTAGCAAGCCTTGTTCAAGGAAGCCTTTGGAGAATAAAAAGATTTTACTTGTTAGAAAAAAAATACCATCAACAGTAGTGAGTGACTTACATTTCAGGCCTAAGAATGTTAAAATTTGTACCGTTATGCCTACGGACATTGAGGTCATTTAATTGCATATTTAAATATTTCAATCAAGTTTCACAGCTG